CCATTAACACCAAAGTAAGTAGTAAGTAATGTAAGACTTTCTTTGCACCATGATAAAACAAGGAGTACCTTTCAAATCAAATGCTATACTTTTTACCTATTTTGTATGTTTCTAATATATAGAAGTTTCATATTTATAATCTATGTCTTATATTATATATATAAATGAGTTGCTGTTCGTAAGTGTCACTAAAACTCGGGAACGTTTTGAACGGATTTATCTCATCTTAGTCTTGAAATGTTCGTGGAGGTTCAGGGAAGGTTTAAAAGCTGAAAAAAAATTATTCATTTCCGGGAAAACCCTAAAAACAGCCCTTTTCTATTTTCAATACAAACGTTTTCTTTGACATTAGATGTGGCAACTAACTAATATGTCAATCATTCTGTCGCACTTTAGAAAAGAGGAGAATTATGGCTTATAGGTAAACTCCAAAAAAAAACAGAACAAAGAAAAAAGTATTACGATTGACGATATTGTGTCACGATCATAGATACGATATTCTATGAGTGCATCCATTTATCTTTGTGAGTGACGATTAGCGGTAATCGTGCGTGAGAACTTTCCTTACTTTGTGATCCTTTGTGATACTGACATTCCAAGTAGTGTGTTCTTTTTGTGTGGCACTTTATTATTAAGATTAAGTGAGCGAGAAATTTTCTCATTTTGATTAATTACGTTACATTTTGATTAATTACGTTACATTAGATATACATTTCTTATTCTGAAACTAACGCAGACGAAGTCGCGGGCAAAAACTAGTATATGTATAAAAATGAATCCCTTTTTCCCTTTGATCACTCCATCACGCGTGAATGGCTGAACCGATTTCACTAATTCTTTTTGTGTTGTAGGTATTTATTATTAGGAGCAGTGGCGGCTATACCTTAAGTGCACTCGTGCACTGGACCACCAATTCATAAGATTTAAAAATTACAAAGTATTACTTCATCTTTATTTTTAAATTAGCATTTTAACATTTATTTATTAAACACTAGCTGTGCCCGTGACTTCGTTCGCGTGGAATAGTGACTATGAGCAGCGTTTTTTTGACATAACGTTTTTATTTATGAGCCGATTGACATGAAACAAACACTAAAGCATAACGGAAACATACCACAATATATTCGTGAAAACCGCATCCAACTCCGATCAGCCGTTTCTGAGATTAGCGTGAACAGACAAACAGACAAAAAAAAAGTTAATTACATTTTTGGGTTCGACATCGACATAACAATAACCCCTGCTACTTTTTTTATTTTTATTTTCAATGTACAGACAGCACTTTTCTACAATTTTATTATATGTATAGATGAAAATTTTTATTTCATTTCACAACAGTAATGAATTCATTTCGATTACAAAAATGAAGTATTATTTAGTTGAACTTCACTAAGTAAATGAAAGTGAATAATAATATTATAATTAACGATAAGTAACCTATCTATATAGTAATTGAATTATCAATGAAGTAATTCGTTATAATTAACCTATTTATATAATCTTCTATATATATAAAAATGGATTGCTGTTCCTTAGTCTCGCTAAAACTCGAAAACAGCTCAACGGATTTATCTTATCTTAGTCTTGAAATGTTCGTGGAGGTTCAGGGAAGGTATAAAAGCTGAAAAAAAAATGATTCATTACTGGGAAAACCATAAAAACAACCCTTTTCTATTTCCCATACAAATGTTTTTTTTGACATTAGATTTGACAACTAACTAATATGTCAATCATTCTGTCGCACTTCAAAACACGGAGATTTATGGCTTACAGGTAAACTCCAAAAATATAAATAAAAAAACGTAATAGATATTTCTTGATTATAGGGCGATATGAAGTTCGCTAGGTCTTCTAGTTTGTTATAATTAACTGTAAGTAACCTATCTATATAGTAATTGAATTATCAATTAAGTAATTCGTTATAATTAACCTATTTATATAATTTGTTATAATTAACTGTAAGTAACTTATCTATATAGTAATTGAATAATCAATGAAGTAATTCGTAAAAATGAAGTATCTTTTGTACGTGTAACTCCTAACCAAAAAGAGACCTGGCAATAACTAACCTTAGGCCTATATTACTTAAAGTAGGCGACCATACGTGTTTATCAAATCGCTAATGCCTTGAAAATTCGCAAAACGGACACAACCGTCAACGACGTCTGCCCTCACGCGTCTACCCGCCAGCTACTTCTTCGCACTTCTTCCCCACCGCACCTACCCCACCCCCCCACGCCCCGTTCGTCTGGCATCGCTGCCGGTATTTATCACCGAAACGGTATTTATCGCCGAAATTGCTATGACTCTGCATTTTAAATCTGTGATATCTTCGAAAATATTTATTTAATTTACATGCTGTAAAAAGCCATATTGATCTTTATTAAATGCACAATGTATTTAAGATACTTAATTGGATAAGAATTAATACTGTATTGCTTAAAATCGCTTCGTAAATAAGCCATTATTTCTCGTACAAAGTAAAGGATAAAAAATGGTTATTGTGGGTTATTCCTAAGAAATAAACATATACCATCACGGACTCTTTTGTAGACCTTTTTAAGTTGTGCAATACTGTTGTACATTGTTTTGATCTATCTTTTAGGATTCAGTCAGCGTTTGCAATGTAACCGCAAAAAATGTGTTTTTTACGACCTCATATTAGAAACCTCAAAAATTGTAACCTATGTGTTATTCTGATGTATAATCTATAGCCTATATGTTATTCTGATGTATAAACTATAGCCTATATGTTATTTTGATGTATAAACGATATTGTGGTAAAGTTTCATTCAAATCCATTCAGTAGTTTTTACGTGAAAGAGTAACAAACATCCATACATACAAACTTTCGCTTTTATAATAGTAGTAGGATATAAACACGTATAAAAACATAAATTTCCTAATTATGGTCAAAAAGTTTGAGCGCTTTACTAAACTCATATCGTGCGCTTCGGCGAGTGCACGAGGACTGCTAATACATCTTGTATGAGATAGGAATTAATACGCCTGACGCGTGAAACAAGATAATTCACGCGCGAACCGAAGATTACCGAGAGCACCCGATTTATGACGAATTGAGATATGATTGACATCTCGTTGTTTTGTTGCATTTTCTAATTTTAATATTTGAGTAAATTGCACCACCAGTTCGACTACCCACCAGCCGCCACTGATTAGGAGAAGGTTCTAATGTAAGAAAAAAATACGAAAATTAAAAAAATAAAAACTGGAATATATCACTCTTTTATTAAAATAATTTGTCACGCGTAGTACTTAATGTTCACGTAGTTAGAATAAAGCATTAGAATAATTAAACACTTTGTTTTTGGAATAATTTTAATTTATTAAAATATACCAATTATTAGAATCCAATAATCACAGTTAAGAAGCATTGTCTGTCGGATCATTTATACCAAATAAAGGAATTGACTTAATTCAGAAAAAAGGTAACAGGTTATTCTTTATTATAGGACGATACGAAGCTTGCCAGGTCAGCTGTAAGTGTTTTATAATTTCACATAAGAAATTAACGTTTCGCTATTTCGCTATTCCCTCGACATCTATAATTAATAAATAAAAATGTATCTCTTCTGATGTAATAAGGTTACATTTGGAAGCGCTAATAAGTAGCTAGGCTAATAGGTACCTGCATATTATGTGGAACTAACTCGAGATCTTTGTCGAACATTTTCCATTTCCCAATGGGACATTTATCCTTATAACCAAAAAGGTTTCTATTTTTCAACATTAGAAGCGATTTTATTTTTAAGAAAACGAAAACTTAAATCGTAATATGTGCTTCAAGATGCAGATTGAAGTGAAGGATAAATAATTAAGTAGTTAATAGCTAAATACACAATAGTTAAGTAAATTTATAGAAAGGTATAGAAAAGACAAAAAGGAGTTACCCAAGACTTGTGCCTCAACTTTTTACACAATGACCATAAGACTGATTAAGAACCATCGTACTAAATCGGATAAATCTTGCCATCCATTCCCTTATAAGTGACCTTATGAAAGTATGGCAAAAAAATGAAAAAAAGAAACTAAATTTGATATAATAACTGGTTACATGGAGTGGATCAAAAAATCTTGCAAAGAACTAAGGTAATTAGTATATTAAAATATAGTATATAAACAAGTCACAAAAAATAAGATACTAGAAAGGTATAACTGAAACTGTTTAAATTGTAAAATGTTATGTCGTGTACCTTAAAATTTTTATGTTTAGTATAAGTTTGTTAAAACACCAGTAAATGATCACTAGAGTGCTTATATTAATTTACATACTGTCATTAGATAACGTTAACCTAATGGAAGTAAGAAACTGTACCTAGCAAGAAAGCAGATGTACAGGTATGCTGTATGCGATTGTAACGATAAGGCTCAAAAGGACTCGTATCCAGAGCCGTAAAACATTGACAAAAAAAACTGGTACGCGAGTAATAGTGAGAAAATAGAGTATCTAATTGCAAAGTTTTTAAATTAATTTTTGTTTATAGCAGTATACAGTGCTTACAAAAAAAATACCTTGTTATGGTTTTGATTTTTTTTAATACATCGCAGTTCATAAGGTACGGAAGATATTTTCTAATATTAAAAGAGTATTTTTTAATAAATAAGGTTTTTGTGATTAATTCCTTTTTAACTTTTAAGTTTTGAGTGAAAAATAGGTTAAAATTATTGTTTTGCTAAGCTTAAAAGTACATATATCTTTCGTTGTTATGGCAACTTAATTTAATCTTAGCATCTACATGTGTTTTATCTGTGCGAAACAACTACTTTGTTGACTTTATATAAAGATTGGAGATCTAAATATTAAGTTACCAGTTTTTTATGCCGAAACAATGATTTCACAGCTTTTATCTAATGGTTAACATTGTTATTGAATTTGTTGTTCGTGTAATTGTAATTCCTGTCTGTGCCTTAAAAGTTACGGTGCAATATTAGATTTAACTCATGAGGTGTTCTGCGAAACTATTTTATTTGTTTTCATTATGACGAAACGCCGAAGAATAGTTCAGGCTGACAAAATAATACAAAATGTTATTAACGTATTTTGTTTATTGATGTTCCTACAGTTAAAAGGTAAATTTATGTCTTTAGATATACACATTTCAATCGAAGATGATAATAAACACAAGCTTTTCCCACCAGGTTACTATTCAACCACAAGTAATCCTGTGTTGTTATATTCTACTGCTTCTGATATTCGAGTTGCAAACACTTCAAAATTGGGGAAAATAAACGTTATAATAAAAGGCCTAGAGCAAGGCTCTGCTGTAGACTTTCTCTATAGAAAAAATACAATTTGCTACTCAGATCAGACTGCGGAACTGATACAATGTATGGAATACAACGAAACCCATTCAGGAGAGAAGGTGAGGTTTAGTTTTTATTTAGTTGTTAGTCATTCAAATAGAAAACAAATAATTTACGTTCAAGAGAATGTATATAGTTCTATTTGTCATTAATATTATAACAAACAATTTAACACAATCCTTACTATTTCAGATAAGAATAGTTTCAGAAGGCATAATTACTCCTTCTGGTATCGCATTAGATTGGTACACAAATAAAATGTATTGGACAGATGGTGAAACTAATAAAATTGAAGTGATTTGTATTGAATATAAATACAGAAAAGTGCTGTTTTGGTCAGATGTTGACCTTGCAAGAGCTATTGCTCTCGTTCCTACAGAAGGGTAAGAAGGTGAATCATTTTTAATAACAATTAATATTTTTCATAATATTACACAAGTATTTCTTCTAGGCTTATGTTCTGGACCGATTGGGGAGAAATCCCCAAAATAGAAAGGGCTGGTATGAATGGAGATCCAGCCACTAGGAAAGTTATAGTGAAGGATAATATTTTTTGGCCGAACGGAATCACAGTTGATTATAACAAAAATTTAATATACTGGGTTGACACTAAATTACAATTTGTTGATGTGATGGATTTCAATGGTGAGAATCGTAAAAGAGTCGTTAAAGATGGTTTGAGGCATCCATATGCTCTGGCTTATTTTGATAATAAACTTTATTGGACTGATTGGAAGAAGTGGTGAGTTGTTAATTATAAATGTAGATTGAATCTTATATATGTGATCATGAAATGCAATTTACATTACAAACAACTTTTACAGGTCCATATATACATATGATATAGCTACAAATAATTCTCTTAAAGAAATTATAAAATCTGACCATGTGCCAGTGGACATCAAGGTGTATGATGAGAGTCGGCAAGTTAAACCCAATGGAGAGTACCCTTGTAAAAACAATGAGAAATGTTCACATCTGTGCCTTCTAGCACCGAATTCACCTGGTAGGATAATACATTTTATTATCTTTAATAAACATGTATTAAAGAATATTTTTTACAACAATTTTTTATGAAATATATGAAAAATTTTATTCATTATTTAATTATTATAAACTAATCATAATTTATTATATGATATACATATCTATACTAATATTTTAAAGAGGAAAGGTTCGATTATTTATTTGTTAGTCTCAAATAGGCTCCGAAAGTACGGTACCGATTTGAAAAATTCTTTCACCATTGGAAAGCTATACTATCCCGAAATGACATAGGCTATATTTAGTTTTAAAAAAAATAGGGTTCCTTACCAAAACTCCGATAATGTAAAAAATATACCAATAACCGTATATAATATAAATAATAATAGTAATAATATTATTTAATCGCGAACTCTCTGAAAACGATTGAAGATATAACAATGTGATGTACTACAATTTTGTAGAACTTATCATTATCTACAAAGAACGTCGCTCCATCATATCTTTAACTATTATAGTTTTGTCACAATAAGCAATTTTTTATATAAAAAAATTAATTCAAATACCACTGCTTGAAAGGGCTCTTTATTTATACCTTAGTATTAATCCTTATCAAAATTAATGATTTATTATGTAAGATCTTTTCAAAACCTTAATGTAACTTTTTAAATTATTAGATTCTGACATTCTATTCAAAAGATATCACAAGTTAAAAATTTTGAAAAATATCCGTTCGGTGGCTAAGTATGCATTGTAGAGTTGTAGGTGTCACTTGGGCACGGAGGTACGGGAGGGGTTAAGATCACGAAATAATATCTAAGAATTTATTTTTCTATTTTTTTTTTATTTGGCGCAAAAAATTTTGAATATTTGTGTAAATGTCATGTTTAGTGCCCGTGCGAAGCCGCTATATGTATAATAACATCCATTACAACGTTCACAGTTCTTCTGCGATATATTTAGCATCAGCATTGCACCCGTGCGAAGCTGGGGCGGATCGCTAGTCTCATAATAATTTAATTCCTTTCACATTAATAAAAATCTATATCTTTCACAATATATTTTCATGGTTACAGGCTATGTATGCAGTTGTCCCACCGGTGTTAAGTTAAAGGAAGGTAGCAATACAACCTGTTACAACGGACCACAGTCATTGCTGTTGGTGGCTCAGAGATCAATCATATCTAAAATATCCCTTGACTCACCAGACTACACACCTCACCCATTACCATTGAAAGATCTTAAAAGAGCTCTTACTGTTGACTTTGATCCTAAAACTGAATATATATATTGGGCAGACAGCATGGTATGTATTCATTTACATATATTTACGAAATTATACATTATAAACTTTAAAATTTTGTGCAAAATTATTTATCTTAAGAATATGTTATTATTTGTTAAGATGCTTATTAACAACTTAGTGTATATAACCAGCTATAATCAGGTAAAATTAAAATACACCGAGTTGTTTTCAAAGAAAAGTATATATGTATGTTTTAATCTTTATATCCATTTAAAAATGATGAAAAATCACCATAATAACTACATTTACTTTTATAATTATTTTAATGTTGGTATTCTTATGCACCACTTCTTTTAAATCTTACTAACACCTTATCTAATTGATGTTAGTTATTGTATGATAGTCAAAAACATTTTTACAAAATCTTTATATGTATGGTAGATATGCAGTTTTATAGAGGGAAAATAATAATTATTCATTGTAATGATATTTTTTATCTATTATTTCTACTCTATACTCCATTACTTATCTTTACTATTTTATTACTACAGTCCAAGACAATATCTCGAGCACGTCTGGATGGCAGCGACCAATCAGTAGTGATCCATTGTAGCGGTGTACCGGACGGTATAGCTATAGATCCGCTAGCTAGGAACATTTACTGGACCGATCCTATATCTGACACTATAACTGTGGCCAGGCTAGATGGACAGGCTAGAAAAGTAAGATACCAATTAACTGCATCAAAGTACAATTCAGCTTTGAAATTATACATTATTGTAACACTTAGAAAAAAGGGCTATCTAATGACAAAATTACATTATATATTTTTTTATTTCAACTGAAGTTTAGACTAAGGACGAAAAATAAAAAATGATATGGAGAAATGAACACTTTTGTTTTTTGTGATAGGTTTATAAAGATATTCTGATAATAAAAAACAATGCACGAAATTACCAAAAATGTATGTACATGTTTCACGAAAACGGTATTTAAGTATCTAACAGAATTGAAGTAGCTTTTAAAAATTTCATACACCATCTTTTTATGGCCATAGTGAAAATTCGTTCGATTTCTTGTTCTTAATTATTATCGTCTGTTTAATTTTTATCGCCAGGTTATAATTCACGACGAGCTGTACGATCCTCGCGCGATCGCCCTACATCCGATGGCCGGCTGGATGTTCTGGTCTGATTGGAACGAGAAGAAACCTAAGATAGAACGAGCCAACCTCGACGGCACGGGGCGGGTGTTGCTAGTCTCAGAAAAACTGATTTGGCCGAATGGCATCGCTTTGGATACGGAAAAAAATAAACTTTACTGGGGTGATGCGAGAACACATAAAATAGAGGTTAATTGTTTATCCTACTGTCATTTTAAATTCGAAAGTATCTGATGTTTATTGCTCTTTATAGCAAAAACGACTGAACGGATATTGATGATTTAAACTTAATTTACTTTTCAATGATGTAGTTTAAACTTCTGAATAACATACATACGTTTTATATATATTTTAATTTTAGAGTTGTATTTATGCTGACAGTTTTTTGTTATATCTAGTTAAGCATACATTATTAACATTACTATGAACCCACTTGCATAATTCACTCGGACGAAGACGGGATCTATAAATTCGTTTACATATGTGTTTATGTGCATTTTGATTTCACAAGTTTTTTTATAGGTATGTAATATGGACGGGTCCGGTAGGCGTGAGCTCCATGGGAGTGACATTCTCCATATATTTGGACTCACTCTTCTGGGTGATAATCTGTACTGGACTGATATGCAGCGACGTACTTTGGATAAGATAAACAAGGAAACTGGTAATTATAGCTTATTAGATTTATGAGCAAGCATTAACTTCTATAGGTACCATATACTATTGAAACTTCAATAGTCCAAGTTAACAGACAATAACTGGACTCAAAAAAAGCAGCGCAATATATTTTTATTTATGTTCTATGTTTTTCGATAATACTGTGTTTAGTCGATTTTCTTGGAGACCCTAACAGTGTCTGCAAAGAACATAACTAATATTACTTACTGAAATATAAATATGTAAACCACAATCTTCTTATGTATAAGTTACTATTCTAGAAAAATGCAATGAGTAAAAACATAATGGGTGAAAATAATGTATAATACTAATCAGTAACTTTTGCTCTTTAGGGTCGTCACGTCAGTCGGTAGTGGATCAAATGGCCAACATGATGGGTGTGCGAGCGGTGCGCGTGGGTCCGCTGGCTAGCCGAAACCCTTGCTCTGCGGAACGAGTCTGCTCACACCTGTGCTTCAACCGACCAGACACACATGTGTGCGCCTGCCCTATTGGTACATATATTAATGAATATCACCCATAGATAAACGTGCCTCATGATTAATTACAATGACTCAAAATATAATAGTAATTCAGACTAATAGACTTTCGTGAGTATTCATTGAAATAAAATCTAAATTTTAACTACATGCTAGATGCCTGTAATCACGGTTGCTACGAAATAACCGAATCGTCGGGAATATGTAGTTTTAAAAATAATAATATAACGCATAGTTATCAGAAAACGTTAGTTCCATTTGAATGAATATTCGCGAAAGTCTTAGATCTCCTTCAATAATATCATTCGAAGTTCTATTAAACCGAATCATTTATTGTATGTTGTAGGTCTAGAGCTCGGAAGTGACAGAAAGACTTGCATAGAACCAGAAGCGTTCCTCATGTACAGCAGGAAAAACATCATCGGACTTATAAGTATTGACAATGAGAACAACGACGCTGTGCTACCTATAAAAGAGTTGAAAGAAGTCAGGTACAATCAAATATCAACCTTAAAACTTTATGCTTAAGAAGTAATTCTACTCCTAAGGTAAATGTCAAAATTTGTGAGCCTGTTTGGAAAAGATTTTGATGAAATTTTTCAACCATATAACTTAAACATCGAAATTACATAATATGTTTATTAAGACTGTATAATTCACATGTCACTAAGAGGGCAATAGATGGCGCTGTTAATTTGTTACTATATCTACTCTAGATATACAAGTTTAATTTCATCTACACGCGGAGGAAGTCGCGGTGATAAACTAGTATTGAATAATCCTAAATAACACTTTTGTTTTCAGTGCCCTAGCAGTAGACGTGTCCGGTTCCAAGTTATACTGGTCTGATAGCAAAACGAAAACAATAAATCGATGTAATATAAACGGATCTAATATGGAGAAGATATTAGAGTTTATGGGCCTTGTTGAAGGTAATCTTTTTCTCATAAACATAGTCATATATACTTGAACTTTTATAAAATTTGAAAACCTATATCAAACGACGCTTTATTATAAATAAGAATAATGTATTTGTTTGTTTTGAAAGTCCTGGCTTCATAGATTCTCAGCCAATAAAAAATTGTAATATATATTGTAATGTATCAAAAAGCAAAATTAGCGGTGGTAACATTAACAACTGAATTCTCATATTATTACGTGTTACTTCGTAAACAGCTGACTTTAATTAATCTTTGACATATTTAAAAGACAAAATATGTTATTTCATTCCAACTAACTAACTATTCAAGTGCTGTTAGAATATGATTGTGTATATGTATGTGTATCAGGTGTGGCGATAGACTGGTCGGCTCAGAACATTTACTGGTCGGACACGGCGGCGCATCGCATAGAAGTGGCCAGACTCGACGGATCTAGTAGACGCACCATTATATGGCAGGGACTCAAGAAACCTAAGAGCATTGTACTCGACCCACGGAAGGGGTAAAGGATAACTAACACTACAAAATATAATTAGATCTAAGACTATGGCGAATTTTCATTTAAATACTGATATTTTTCGGATCAGTACGCGTATTAAATAAAAAAATACTTATTTCAAATATTTCAATTACTTTGCAGCTACCTACCATGAGATTCAAATCTCGTCTGCAGGTCTCGTTTGAGATACCTCATCTAGAGAACTACTTATTAATCGGGTTGATTAAGAAATATTGCATCAGCTTTAGATGATTCGCTTAAAAAGCTCTCAAAATTCGACCATTCGATATCTACGAAGTGTTCATTGATCTCACTTTGATATAACATTAATATAATTATAACATTACATTATTATTTGTTTATCTCTAAAGCATTTATCTAAGAAAGTTATAGGTCTTTACTATGTAAGAATTTTCGGTTTTCAAATATGGCGTATCGTATTTAATTGTTTAATTTATATATTTGTTTAATTTTCAGCTACATGTACTGGTCGGAGCTAGGATCCAAGACTATCAAACGAGCCACTATGGACGGATCATCCCCTATAGTTCTGTTCGAGCAGGTTGTTAAAGTCCACGCGCTGGCCATAGATTACGAGAAGAGAGCCATCTACTGGGCGGCACTGGACTCTATGGTCATTGAATACGCCTTCCTGAACGGAACTGGGAGGAAAGTGCTACTTGATAATATACCCATGCCGTATGCGTTGGCTCTATATAACGATCGTGTATTTTGGGGTGATTGGAATACAGGTATGATATAAAATATACATATAATTACTAGCTGACCCGGCAAACGATGTTTTGCCATATAAAAAAATAAGGGGTTGCAGATAAAAAAGTAAAAATTTTGGGTTGTCTGTATTTTTTAAACGGTTTTATTTAGCTCACCCCGCTTGTTTTATTATTTATTTTTGGGTCAAATTTAGTAATTCAAATTTCACCCTCTTCCTGTCAACCGATTAATCTGAAATTTTGTATACACTTTGGATTTTGATGACAATACAATTATGTTTATTCATTATCATTATAAATTCAAGATGGCCGCCGCTACAAAATGGCGGATAACGTAGGTTTTATCAATCCCATCAATATGGGTATCGAATGAAAGAGCTCAACAAGCAGAATAAAATATACTATAAAAAATTTAAATCCAAGATGGCGGCCGCTACAAAATGGCGGATAACGTAGGTTTTATCAATTCCTTCAATATGGGTATCAAATGAAAGGGCTCAACAAGCAGAATAAAATATACTATAAAAAATTTAAATCCAAGATGGCGGCCGCTACAAAATGGTGGATAACGTAGGTTTTATCAATCCCATCAATATGGGTACCAAATGAAAGGGCTCAACAAGCAGAATAAAATATACTATAAAAAATTTAAATCCAAGATGGCGGCCGCTACAAAATGGCGGATAACGTAGGTTTTATCAATCCCATCAACATGAGTATCAAATGAAAGGTCTCAACAAGTATGAAATGAAGCACAAATGAATTAAACAGAATGCGAAATAAAAACTAAAAACTAGAAAATAAAAATAGGTAAAAATCTTAAACATTGCAATGTATGTTTCACGTAAAACCGTTTAACTTTAAAAAGTTTTTTTACCTATTTTTAATGCTACATTATAAAAAAATAAAAACAAAATTTTACATCTGAAAAAAAATTAAGGGTAAACAATCCTTATGACTTAGGAGTATGAAAAATATATAATGGCCGATTCTCAGACCTACCCAATATACACAAAAAATTTCATCAAAATCGGTCGAGCCGTTTCGGACGAGTTCTCTGTCTAACACCGCTACATGAGAATTCTATATATACAGGGTGACTGGTGAATTACTATCAATATTTAAGGAGAATACTCGGTACATGATTCTCATTCGAATTATGTAAAAAAAATAGGCACTTAATTTTTGACAAAATTTCCGTATAAATAAATAAAGTGTTGACACGTTCCAAGTGTTAAAGTGTGGACGCGTGCGGCGGCGTGCTGATACAACACTACGTCACGACACGCGTATGTGTGAGTGTGAGTGTATACCTAATCTGTAGGGTGCTCACACGATGCGTAATTAATTACATAACTTTTGGTTAACTTTACTAAGTAGTTTATTAATATTTATGTTATATTAATTTTTATTTTGTCATATATGATCGTCAAATATCACGTCCTCAAATATCGATAGTAATTCACCAGTCACCCTGTATATATAAGATTACGTAATACGTATGTATTACGTAAAATTAGCTATGTCATTTAGAAAAGATAACTTAAAATATATTGTTATATAATATAATCCCAATTCTTCCAGGTCTCGTGGAGGTCGCAAAGAAATCGGATGGATCGAATCGTAAGACTATTCATACACAGTTGGACTATATATCAGATTTGAAGATTTACCACAGGGGCAGAGACAACCTGTCCAACCAGTGTGGGGTCGACAACGGGGGCTGCTCGCATTTATGTTTACCTTTGACAAACAATGATTATAGATGCGCTTGTCCCACACACTACAGACTCAACAGGGACAATCTCACGTGTTCCGGTAATGAACCTCATGGGATGTACTGTTTTCATTATAAGTCATAAAGTTTTACAATATTATAATCTATATATATATAAAAATGAATTGCTGTTCCTTAGTCTCACTAAAAGTCGAGTACGGCTGAAAGGATTTATCTATCTAGTCTTGAAATGTTCGTGGAGGTTCAGGGAAGGTTTGAAAGCTGAAAAAAATTGATTCAATTCCGGGAAAACCCTAAAAACAGCCCTTTTCTATTTCCCATACAAACGTTTTCTTTGACATTAGATTTGACAATTAACTAATATGTCAATCATTCTGTTCGATTGAAACAGGAGAAACCTGATTATTTATGGCCTCTAAAACGGAATAGAGTTCGCCCGGTAAGCTATACATATATTACTAATGACGAAACTAACGCGGACGAAGTCGCGGGCAAAAACTAGTAAATAATATTTAAGTTAATTAAAGATGAATCCGTTTTTAAACTGTTAAAAGAAGAGAAATCCCATACGTTGTATTGTATGTTTCCAGAGCCCGAAGAGTTCTTGCTATACGCTCAAAAGAATGCCGTGGGTCGTATACTGGTAGCTAATAATGAGTGTAGTGACGCCTTCATCCCTCTGACGGGTCTCAGGAACGTGAAAGCTATCGAGTATGATCCAATCAACAGGTAGACTGTATAAAAATATTTCTACTGAAATAGAAATTAACTCTAGAGATAAACATAATTTATTTAAAAGAAATATTCCCCATAAAAAAATGCGTTAATAAAAGATTCATGTGTATTTAAAGTCCTTGAAACCGATCTATACAACTGCTTAATTAAAATATAATAATCATGCATCATCATACTACTAACATTTATAACAAAGGTGCTGAGAAAAGAGTACATATAATAATTATTATGAAACAGTAAGTTTTTATACATTCTTTTTTATAAGAACCTTCAAGAAAGTAGAATAAAACATTAGATTAACACATGATTAAAATCGGTAAAGCCGTTTGAAATTATAAAGTGATTGAAGAAAGTATAGGGTCTTATATATTTTGATATAAAATTTTCAGACATCTCTATTGGATGGACGAAGAAAACCACTCGATACGTAGAGTTCCCATATCTTACTCTGCGACATCAGCGATCACAGACTCTACAAACATCGTCTCCGATCTATCAAGACCTTTCCACATGGTGTTGGATGTGATAGGAAGGACTCTGTACTGGACATGTCTCAACGCAGACTCTATCAACGCTACTTCCATAGAAAACAACTCTTTATCTGGTGTTGTAATACGAGGGGACAATATGCTGCCCAGATATTTGGCGTTCCATCAAACAAAAAGGTAAACATTGTATGTAGTACGGAGCCAGTTAAATTATTTAAAAATTCTTTAAATATACTTATCAATAGTCCGGTCAATTTAGTCGGTAAGTTTTATCATAAAAGTATCTGAGACAAAAATTGTAGATTTATGTCTCAGATACTTTTAATAAAAAAAAAATCCTTACACAGGAATGATGGGGACCTTCTAGACATTGTTTATAATTAAGCTTTCAACAATTTCACAGAAATTCAGCTTTTTGGGACTTTATGTAACTTCACTCTCATTTTTGGTCTAAATTGACCGGATTACAAACAGTAATGCTAGTGTCCAGCTTAATTACATCAAAGAATATGTGGAACAAAACTTGTATGAAGAAATAAAAAAACAATTCGTCAAATCTATATACAGGGTGACTGGTGAATTACTATCAATATTTAAGGACGTGGTAGTTGACGATCATATATGACAAAATAAAAATTAATATAACATAAATATTAATAAACTTCTAAGTAAAGTTAACCAAAAGTTATGTAATTAATTACGGATCACGTGGATACCCTAGCTGCCTTATCGACACAAAACAGTTATGTACGTAGGTATATGTAGTTATTGCGCGGTAGTTTACCTACATCCAAACGCCGCGCGCCGCCGCGTGTTAGACTTTAGATAAACAAAAATGATCCATTTCCCTTCATACTTTAATCCTGGCTTAGGACAGGCAAAAATACCAAGATATTTCTTTCGTTTAAGCAACCAATTTATTGACTAGGTAAATGGTGTGACCTTGACACAAAAAATAATATGAACTGTTTACCTTATCTTGGTATTTCCGGCGTATTTAAAAATGGAATCATACTTATTTACAACAATTGTCAATCATTAAACTACCTATTTACCTACATAACTACACTAACCTTAACAAATGTTCAAAGTGAGCTCCTTCTCGTGTGATACACAGTTCGGCACGTTTACACATATTGTCTTTCACACGATTTAATACGAATGGGTCACTTTTAATAGTTTCGAAATCACTATTGATTTTTAATTTCAACTCCTTTCTGTTTACATACTCTGTAGCATACACAAGACGTTTCCTTGGGCATGTGTTGGAACACGGAACTGTCCGAAGTCTCGTAATCTTTGATTAGCGTTTAAGATGACGCTGGCCGTAGGTACTCGACGATTGGGGAACATCTCCCGGTACAAATTGATTGCGCCCGGCAAGCTTTCATTTGCACGCGCATACGCATGAACCATATCCAAGTATTCTGCATTTGTGTATTGAAAAGCCATATTTAATTACTAATAAGTAATAACGGGTCACACGCACACACGACAGATTTTTATTAGGTATACGCGTAAGATCGATCGCTATGCGCGCGCGCGGGAAGACGAACGTACGGACCTTACGGCAGCGCTCGCGCGACTAATAGCCGACTAATGGCCCGCTAGCCACGGGGCGGGGGTTGGGGAGTAGCGACACACTGGCGCCGGCAAGGTTGAGTACGTGTCCAAACTTTATTTATTTATACGGAAATTTGGTCAAAAATTAAGTACCTATTTTTTTTACATAATTCGAATGAGAATCATGTACCGAGTATGCTCCTTAAATATTGATAGTAATTCACCAGTCACCCTGTATGTATATATATATATATATATATATAAAAGAAAGTCGTGTTAGTTACTCCACTTATAACTCAAGAACGGCTGAACCGATTTAGCTGAAAATTGGCAGGGAGGTAGTTTAGAGCCAGGAAATTGCAATAGGATACTTTTTACCCCGTCCGACAGCATTCCCGTGGGATTTGAAATGAAACGTCAGCCACTATAAAACGTGAAATAACGAAACACAATTGACAGCTATGCAATTGACGTATAATGACAGATATGTAATGACGTAATAATGATGAATTAAATATTTGTAAGAGAACTATTAAATAAAAATGAGTCCGGTTTTCCATCCTGACGCTATAACTTCAGAACGAACGAACCAATTTTTAATCAATATTTTAAGTAGATGGCGCCGGTGCATGATACATTGTTTGACAGCTACTCATCGTTCTCTGCTCAGTTAATTTCATGTGAGAAACCGATATTGTGTTTGTAGTTTGAACTCTTAAAACCATTTTATATTTGCGGGATAAATTTAGAAAATCATTGTTTTTCACATATTTTACGTGTTCACGAGTTTGGAAACCATCCGCTTTATTTGTGTTAAAGTAAGACCAAAAAACAAAAAATGTGATTTACAAATTAGCACTTCAATGAAACGGATAATTTGCGGACACGTATAACGCTTCTATTCGGTATCTACTTTGGATTTACTTCGAGAAGTTCAACTAAATAACACTTCATTTTTTAATCGAAATGAATTCATTACTGTTGTGAAATGAAATAAAAAATTTCCTTTTCAAATATAAAACACAAAAAAATTCTTCATCTTTTAATCACCAAACGAAATGTTATATAAAAGCTTTCTGGTGGCGAAACGGAGTTCGCCGGGTTTACTAGTATAAAATAAAAAAGATAACTCAAGTGGACAAAGACTTGAGTTGCTATGGATGGATAAAATAATAACAATAAGAATGCAGAAAGATTAATAATAATATATGTCATAACATTTCAGGTTACTATTCTGGAGCGATGCTGGTATGGGCGGTATATTTCGATCATCGGTGGACGGGTCGGAGCGAACACAGCTGGTGCGTGTGGACAACGTGACCGCCCTCACTCTGGACACGAGCGGTGTACACGCGCTGTACTGGGCTGTGGGGAGACAGATACACGCCGTGGACATTGACGGCACCAACAGGTACATGCGGATACTTGGATAACAGTATTCCAACGAATTTATCTTTATCAAATATGGAGCTTGGGTTGTTAATGTGAAACTATTAAGAACTTGTCCAGAAAGCGCGATTTACGCGCGAGTCAACTCGCGCGTTTCTATTTGTATTGTGTCCAAATGCTGCGAAATCACGCGCGTATGTGATGAGCCGGATTTGGTCAGTTATAAAAATGGACTTGGATACTGTGGTTGCTTCATAAAAAATTTCTACTATTTCTTCCCAGTTCCTACGCTTATAGTTTTATTAGAATAATCTGACGATTCCATATCCCATATAGCCACCCTTTTCTCAATTTTGTCAATAAAAAGTACCGTATCAAAGTTTTCACGCTTCATTTTTAAACACCGAATACGTCTACCCGCCGCGGACACGTGCGTCGTTCTGGACGCTGCAACGTAATGCGCGCGAGTCGAGAGTCCCGCTCATTGCAAGCGTTTTACGTGCGAGAGCATCTGGACGGAATGTATGCAGGTCTAGTAACTCATAAATCGCTCTTTCTGGACAGGCTCTAAGAACTCGTTCATTCGTTTTAATAAAAAGTAACATTTATACGCGCTGAGGCAAAGATTCAGAAAACAATAGAAGTTTTAGAATTTTACTAATTTTTGACTAGTAGTTTACTAATTTTTGATAAGTTGTCTTAATTTGAATAATTTAATAATACCTAAGTATAAAAATACCTATTGTTTGTATCCATAGGCGAGTCGTCTGGCAAGGCGGGGCTGTAGGTGCCCTGGCGGCTTACAGCGGTGCTTTGTACCTCGGCGGCGAGCGTGTTCCCAGCCGGCTGCCATTACACCGACGCGACGCTCCCGCGACACCGCTCGCTCACGTGCAGCGGATACTGTCCGCGGTCGGTGTACACCGCGTCCCACACGACCACTCCTGCTATGGGGCGTGCGGCGGAGCCCCGGCCACCTGCGGCAAGGACGGGGTCTGCGGCTGCGGACTGAGGTGCTCCACCCGGAGACACTGCGAACCTGACCACTTCCTGTGCGGACGAGACATCGGACCCACCACTAACAACGTACAATGTATACCCATGGAATGGAAGTAAGAGTACTTAAATATATACGTACATTGATACAAGTTTTCACCAGAAAATGTAATAGACAGATATATGAACGTACTGCATCTATACTTGTAACCAGCGGCGTGCACACCAGAGACACAAATGCGTGCAAATAAGCACTTAATACCCTACCCATATAACAACTGAACCTATATTGTTTAATTCTTACTTACATACTTTTAATCATACATTACGAAATACAAATGTTAACAGACATTTAAAATGATATTTGATTCACGATTTGTAAATAAGTGCACATCTATCAATATAAAAACAAAACATATTAGATCGGCCCCTGCCAACTACTAGAAATATTATTGAATTATTGAATATTGTCATTTGTCTTTCTAAGCGCAAGTGAATATGTTTTAATTAGTTCATTAGTAAACAGTGGATTAATTTATTAACGAATTATGGAAAATTGTAGCTGTGGGCTCTGTGCTTGTGATGTGTGATTATTGAAATTGATAACAAATAGATTTTAAATATTGTCTTTTGATAATAAAATTAAAATAAGGGTAAAGTCAAATTAAAATAAGGGTAAAGTCATGAACAAATCATAAATATTCGTTTTAAGATACTCTCGTGGCTCAGAGGTAGTTGAGAGATTATGCGCGAATATTATTATCAATGATGAAATGAAACTGATACTTTCTTATTACGTACTTCGCGTATTTTATTATGTTTAAAAACTACATACTCCCGACGTTTCAATTACTTTGCAGCAACCGTGATCACGACATACATAAACTACGCGTAATAATTCGAAAATATTATATTTAATTTAAATGAATACTTTCCAAAGATCTCACTATTATCAATGTTTTAGAAAGGAAATTATGAAAATTTGTATTTTTTTTTCAAACGTCTTCTGCTTACCCTACCCCAAATCCCTGTGCACGCCACTGCTTGTAATCTAGTAAAACTAATATCAGAATCACAGTTTTAATTTATCATTAAAAATTCTGAATTCAAAAATATATTTTTCATCGTCATTCTACAGGCTATCTCTATAATAATTATTAAATATAAAGAAATTAAATACATTGTTGTCTATATCTCCATTATTTTATTAATGCTATAATTTTGACACATTATTCTTAAGAATCTTACTGGCTTACCGGCCACTAACTACATTAATTAAGAGGTGATACACTACAATAATTAATATTTTTAATCTGTTGTATGTAGATGTGACGGTCAGCACGACTGTCCGGACGGGTCTGATGAGTCTCAGTGTGACAGCTGCGCGGGGCTTCACTGTGCAGACGGGTCCTGCGCCCCAACACTCGGCGGCTGTCCCACGGGCGCCTACTGCACACACGCACTACCAGACGCCTTCCGGTACACTACAAATAAATCACTATCTACATACACACTACACACATTTCTTCACAGTCGAATAGGCAACATTTTTTTGGGTCTGAAACATGTCGAAGCCCTTATATTTTTTTTCATTTGTTGCTTGATTATTGAATAGTAATTAAATTTCCATCTCGCTATCTATAAATTTAATCTCTATTTCGCTGGGTGCGTGACTCTAGCGCCATCTAACGTTACAACTTACGGTGGCTCTTTTGAGAAAATAAACATGGATTGGATGTCAAATAGTTATTGAAAAAATTAAATCAACTTTAATTATTTTTTGTATGTGAAATGTGATATATTACACAGAGTGAATATTAAATTTAAAAAATTCCGTGGGTCAGCTAAAAACAGTAAATAAGTAAATTAGGTAAGACATCTTTCAAGATGTTTACATATTGTGAAAATAATATAGAATACAATATCATTATTATTATTAAAAATAAATCTAAAATAATACATAAAATAACAAATAGCTCTATTTAAAATAATATATTTTTACGAATGTATCTTAAATTTTAACTTGACTTTTTTATTATTCTCCTGTCCATAAAGCGTTTGTATCTAAATAAATAAATATCGATAATATATATAAAAATAATATTAATTAAAACAGGTACCTATTGCTAAATCATTAACTGTATCAAATAATATATTTAAATTTTTTAGTCGATTATTTCTATTAATCTAAATATTTTAATCACAACTAATTTTTTTTACGTCCCTACTCAAAACTGTATATTCGTTGACTTCACGTCTTCTATAAACTGATGGAAAAATAGTTGAAGAGTTATTAGGACTTGATTCATCTAATCTTTCACCGCCAATGAAGTGTTCACTGCATATAACATCCATAGGTTTTGGAGATCATAACGATCCATCAATACTTTACAAAAAATATTAATTAAATTATTACTCCGTTTTCTGACACGACATACACATATATGTGACATTATTCAATAGAATATGGTTGTAGGTTATAATAATACTTACTTTTGCCTTTTAACAGCAGTTGTACATTTTTTTCGCTGATTTAATTTCCACTTGACAATTGGAAACTTATAAATTTACAATTACTATTCCTACTAGTATTTTTGCAATTGACTACACAACACCTTTGATGACCCGTTTTATTTTATTTATTTAATTAAACTGACACACGTGTTATTGTTATGCTCTTAGATAATAAAGAGCCACCCGTAGATCTGTATTTTCCGCAGCGGATGCTGACATCACTTTTGTGTCCCCCACTATGCCTTACGCACCCAGCGAATAGGTCCATGTGATGTTAACAGATAAATAAAACGATAATTTGTTTCTAATCACGATAGATTCAATATGATACATAATAATGTAGCTGAAATATTGTAAAGCTCAGTTTCAACCATCACACGTCACCGAATTTTAAAAAGCTATTATAATGGACACCATCTAACATTGAAGCTTCGTACTATTATAGTTATTTAAAACGTTATTTGTAATATTAATATTATAATACGTACAGTTGTGACGACCGTCTCTGTCTGCCGGCCGGTCTGCTGTGTGACGGTCGCTCTCACTGTGAAGACGACTCAGATGAAGCCCCCGCCGCCTGTGGATACGTTCATAAGGATCAGGTTTGAGAATCTATTATTATTTATTAAAACAGGTCTTAACGCAATATTTTTTTATATAATCTTCAATTGCTAATAAAACCTCCTTTTATAGTTACTTCTCATTCATTGTCTTAAAAGGTTTTATTTAATTTCAAATTCTGAAATGTAAATTAACTAATGAACACATCGGAGCATTGTTGCATGCTTCATATACAGGGTGACTGGTGAATTACTATCAATATTTAAGGAGAATACTCGGTACATGATTCTCATTCAAATTATGTAAAAAAAATAGGCACTTAATTTTTGACCAAATTTTCGTATAAATAAATAAAGCGTGGACACGTTCCAAGTGTTCCAAGTGTGGACGCCGCGCGCGCGAGTGTGTGTGTGTGTGTGTGTGTATACCTAAGCTGTAGGGTGTTCACACGAGGCGTAATTAATTACATAACTTTTGGTTATCTTTACTTAGAAGTTTATTAATATTTATGTTATATTAATTTTTATTTTGTCATATATGATCGTCAAATATCACGTCCTCAAGTATCGATAGTAATTCACCAGTCACCCTGTATATTTTGTATGTCGTTATAAAAATTTTGACGCTATTTGAAATGGCAACAGAATATGTAATTACATTTTTTTTGAATATGTTTTTTCTATAGATGGTATCGGCGGGTGCGAGTGGTCATTCGCACGTGTTAGTGGTATGCGGGTCGGTAGTAGGGACGGCGGCGGTGGTAGCGGCTTTGTGGGCGGCCGTGAGGCGCTACTCCAGAGCAGGCAGACACCAGCCGCATCAGAGAACACTCGCACTCAACAAGCCGGCCACACGACCCAGGACAGATGTACCATCCTCCGAGTCAGTACATATTATAATATACATAACATATCCACTTGTATGAAAAGTATGGTATACAATGAAATGAACATGTCAAACAAGTCGCACTTATGTATACTATGAATTCAAAAATTGTTACCACGAATGGGTTTTCCGTGTTCACCATGAATGGATCGATGAAACTTTCTTACTGATGACTTAGTCAATATATCTATTGTAATTTCTCTATGTAACACGATACTTATCGAACGCGGAGGAAATTGCGGACAAAACCTAGTAATCCATATTCATTTATGTATACAGTGGACCCCCGGTAGTCTTTTTGCAGGGCAGTGTCGAACTATCGAATTCGTCGGATTATAGAGTACTGCCTAAGATAGTCCGGATTTTTTTACAAAAGAGTACCTTGTAATCTGACAAATTACAGATTCAATGATAAGATTATTTACATATAATATATACATAAGTTGTTACTTATTCAATCATGGATTAGCGAATACAAAATATGTATTCAATAATAATAAATAATAGATCATGTCGGATTACAGGGGGTGCCGGATTACCGGGGGTCCACTATTACGAAAACAATTCAAACTAATCATTCCTTTTATAGTTCGTTTCTCAGATTGAGCGCGATGGGCACTGCTTCGGGGTGTGGATCTCGCTCGGGCTCCGGTTCGGGCTCGGGCTGGGGCTCGGACAGTCTGTGTGGACGATACCCACGACCTACAGCCAACCCTCCGCCCAGTCCAGCCACGGCCTCAGGAGGAAGACGACGCGCCTACAGGAATTATAAGGCTTCGAACAGGCCTCCGCCCCCCACACCGGCCTCCACTGACGCCAACGAATCAGAGAACGAACACGCGAGGGCGCCACCACCATCGCCGGCACCCTTACTATACTAGATAGAATTATATTTAATTACTTATATATGCAAAACATAACCATTAAAAATATTACACAACGAACACTTGAAACATATCCTATCAATAACTTTACATATATTTATTTAATAAAATAAATAAATTGACAGCAAACACTAAGAATTTTAACCTAATAATGTAAATTTATTAATAAAACTTTGAAACTAAATGTATGTTTGGATACAATATATTTTGTTATAGGGACTGGTAAAACCTAGTCGAAGGATAACATATACTGTACATGAATAATATATATGAATTTAATCTGCACTACAACGATACGATTACATATCTCTTCACGAATGTTTAAAAATTAGTATAAGATATTTTGTTTCATGTAAGTAATATAAAAATAGATTTATGAAAAAGAAATATATATTTCATATACTTGATTTAAGTTAGTAATGGGTTCATTTTAAATGATGAGGAATTGACAATTTACTATAATATAAAGCATATATCATTTAGCTTAAGCAACACATAATTACTTAAAGTCCTTACATATTATCATAATGTTTGCTTTTCTATTATTGTTCTTGTAATTTGTGGAAAGTTAACGAGTGTTCTAGCTCATTAATTTAAAATTTAGTTTTATTATTATGATTCTATAAAAATAATACTATTACAAGTAAATACTACATTGTTACGAAGGTAAAAACGATTTTTAAATAATTATTTAGTGCCATCTAAATGTAAATTTCAACTTGGTGCTATCCCACTGTTCGTGCCTCAGTAATATAGTTAGTTACATGTAAATAAAAGCTTTATATAATGTAAATAAGGTTGCAATTAGGTTGTAGCGTAATTATAAAATCTTTTCATCGGAAACTCATTTACAATAAATATTAAGGGGTTATTGACTTTAACACTTTGTTGATTGTTTTATGGATGTAACATGATAGACTTTGTAAGTCAAGAAATTGTCATAAAATTAGTTTAAGTAACAAATTATTGTTGATATAATTATGATTAATATCTTAAGTATGAATGAATAAATCAATCAATATTCATAATTAAGGCAAAACACAGAGTTGAATCATTTCAAATGTTGTATATAACCAAGTGATGTCCATGTCCGTAGATATTGGACTTTTTAATGATAATGATTTAGTTTAAGACTAAATGTAAATTATTTTTTCTTATTATTTTTTTGTATGCCTTACAATAACATACTAATGCTGACTGAATTGAACCTTTTTTAGTAATAAAACTTTTGTACCTGTTAATTTTTTAATTTTCTCAAAACCTTTCGATTTATTTAAAAAAAAACATATATTATTATATAGAGACGAAAATTCTCAGCATTCTATGGATTCACCGTGCAGATGCCGGGTCCATCGCGTTGCAGGTAGAAGAGCTTCAACAGTGCCTGGGACTTGCGACCCAGGTGTAGGTTTAAAGGGCCCCTATCTAACGCGCGTTATACGCTCACCCCCACTGTCCAAGCTCCTCTCCCTACCTAACCAAATTTGAAAACAACCTACTAGGGCTGCCTTCGATGTACGTTCCGAGAATGTATTAATGTGAGTTCTGGACAAGCCCAAGTCTTTAGTAAGTTGTAGAGAGATTTCGCCGTTATACCCCTTGCTCCTACCTCTACCGCGTACAAATCCACGACGAACCTATTTCGAGTGAGCTCGTAATATTTGTTGATCTTGATGGTATGGTCTTTGGGGATGTTGGTTGCCCAATGAACCGTAAGCTCTATCATCACTACGCGCTTTAAAGTCTGGAGGCCGACGCAAAAAAATCCTCAGGGATTTTATATTGTTTTTTATACGTGTCAATCATTATAGTCCAATCCGACGCCGCTTTAAGGATGGAGTAAGGCTAGAAATTTGATTTTGTAGCCCTAATGCCTTCTCTCACAAAACCTACTGATCGTTCGTTTGTAGTTATTTCCCTTTGCGCTCTGGCTATCGAAAGACTAACCGCTTCACGTATGATTTCTAAAACCCTATCGTGACGACGCGAGTATTGATCGTTGTCCATGAGTACCTTGCATCCCACCAGCAGATGCTTAGCAGTTCCAACTGCCTTTCCACAGACATAGCAGGTTTTTTCGGTACCTTTACCCCATTTTACTAAATAACTGATCTGGGAGTGTCATCTGGAAACCATTGAGATAGAATTTTAGCAATACTGGCGACTAACCATAAATTAAAGTGCGCCACTTTAATGCTCATGGGATGCAAAAAACTCCTATGTCTAACCACTCGTTCTGCATTTCTAAACTCATTGCATGTATCTTATATTTATCATACTCGTCTTGCCGAATAAAAGACTTCAATATATCCGTATCTTGGACTTTCTTACTTGATCCTAACCCTACTCTGTTACTTTGTACTCCTAACATAAATTAATGAGATCTAAGATTTTCGCGAGTATGGGGAGACTGGGTTACAGTGAATCGCGGGTCACGGTGGAGAATGTACAATAACATAGTATATTTTGCACTCACGCACACAAAAAAAAACCTTTATTTGCCGCTCGGTTATACCTGTTCGTGAGGCACTAGTCGCCGGCACCCCTCGAAACGGGAGCATACGCTGCCTCACTCTGGACCCTAAGTAACATAACCATAAGTACCTAACCTATTTTTTTACGAGGTTTTCAAATTTATTTCATTCCTAATTGAATAAATAATGTAGATGTTTTTGCAATGACGTATACTTGTCATACCTAATATATATATGTTGTAATGCATATTGATTTGTCCTCAAGATAGATATTTTTTTTTTTGGTTTATATTCTTTTTATATAACGGTCAATGGGTCACAGTGAATGATTCTGTATTGGGTCACACTGAACTGTTCATCCATTGTAACCCAACAAGCTAAGATTTATTTTACTTTATGTTTTAGGTAAAAATGCCTTGTTATCTATCGGACTTCATACTGAAAAACAGATAAGTAACGCTCTAAAATTTATTTCGTCATCATCATCAGCCTATCAGAGCCCACAGCTAAGCAAAGGCCTCTTTCTCACATGGAGAAGATTTGAGCATTAACCACCATTCACCACGCTTGCTCAAGACGGATTGGCGATTTCAAACTTATAATTGTGAAATTATAAATCCAGGTTTCCTCACGATATTTTCCTTCATTCAGTTATGTAAATACTCTTAGAAACTACATATGACTCGGAAAAATCAAATTGGTACTTGCCAGATTCGAACTCGTGCCCTCGGCAACGAGAGGCGGGCCTCTTACCACTAGGCCACCACTGACTGACGATCTCGCAATACTGACACTTAACCCCAAACACTGTCAAGTACTATTGGATGAAGTGGATAAATTCTGTGAGTGAACGAATGGATTGAGGACAAATTGTTGAAGTTGTGGCTCCGGCTGGGGCTAACGTCTGATTCATCGCCTTTATTCAGGGATTCCAATAGTATTTAGACATCATTGACATACGGTGAAGGAAAACATCGTGAGGAAACCTGGACTTATAGTTTCACAATTATAAGTTTGAAATCACGAACCCGTCTTGAGCAAGCGTGGTGATTAATGCTCAAACCTTCTCCATGTGAGAAAGAGGCCTTGCTCAGCAGTGGGCTTCTGATAGGCTGATGACATTGCGAGATCGAGAGTAAATCGAGATTAAACTTGAACCAATAAATTGCAAATTAATTTGTCTACTAAGATGTTAATTACGATACTAAACACAATTGGAGATAGACAACAACCTTGAAACAGTCCTACATTGTAACTCAAACTTTTTGAAGGGCCTTCTTTAGTTGTTATAGAAAATCTTAATTTTGAATAATATGACGCGATCATATCACTAAAGAATGGTTTAAAATTGTACCATTTTAGCGCGAATAGCATCAATTCGTGTTGTATCGACCCGAACGCGTTCTCTAAGTCTATCCAACAAACACTAATTTGAAAGCGAGCGCTTTTTCTAACATCTTTTAAACTCTCCGACAGCAAAGTGTAAAGTAAAGTGCAAGTTCTAGGCATCCAGAAATTTTAAATACAAATTTAGTATAAGAGATCCTAACTGCAAGTAAAAAATTATTTATAACAACAAAAGGAATTTATACAAATAGCGATAATTCGTATTTCGTACCTAGAAGCGGTAGGGTAAAGATTTCAAAACCTGCATATTAAAAAACTCAAAAATAATCTAGCAAAATAATTTTATTTGAAATTATTAGAGTATTTCTTTTTAATGAATGAATTTAATTAAACCTATTAATGACTCTGACGTTTAATTATTCAACAAATCGAATCTTTGTTGTAATGTGAGGAGTTCTTGTTTAAAACGGCTGGTAAATAAAAAAAACATCTACATTTTTCCTTCATAATTTGTTTCAAATCACCTACAAAGTACATATCTTTGATCTTTCTGTTCATTTGACTACATTTCATATCTTTCCTCTCACACATAGTTGCTAGTACAATTATTGCCTTTAGAATGATAGTAACATTCAGTACCAAGAATACCACGGTTTTGACTCTGAATGAAATTGTTCTGTTAATAATTTATACTATCTTATTATAATTTTAATTTGAGGGGATTAACGACGAATGATTGTTTGATCTTCTACTACTGTAGTATAATTTCTTTGTAATAGAAAATTATTTTCTATTTTTTAGTTGGTTGAGCTATATAGGCCTGTTCTTTTATTTAATTTTTTTTTATTATTATTATTTATCATGTTCTAATGTTCCTATTGTCTGTGTTACGGATTTGCTTGGTGATATTTGATAATTTGAACTATAACTAAAAACTACAGGCACTGATCATCTACATTAGTGTTCTCACAAATCAAAGACTGCTGTTGATATTCGTCAAAATGACATTTGACAAGTAACAACAAGGCACTTTGATAAGATTCGTTAAGACTAAAGTTTTTCGGTGTAGTACTATATAATAAATTGAAATGTAATAAACTTACGTGTAAGAAAAAAACATAAAACTGAGTATTTTAAGTACTTAAACGTAATATCCTTAACCACATACATATGTATTTTTCATTAATTTTACTTATATAGCATCGTAATCTATGGAATTAACATTACGTGGTAATTTAAGGCAATAGAAATTAAATCAAATATATTGAATATAATATAATATGGAATTCCTTTCCATCTTATACTCTTTAATAATTTACGGACTTTTAGCAGTGGTTGCACTGCTTCTTATTGTAAGTTGATAACTATTTTATTTCCTATGTCTATATACCAAAAAGTAACATTGAAATCTTTTTAGTTGGTGCTGTTCATTTTAATTACGACTTCTCCATATCCAATTGTTGAACGTTTCAAAGAAGAAGAATATTACTATGACCCCGTTTCAAAACAAAAAATGAAATTTCCTAGTGTTGAGACTCCTTACAGTGTTAACCTTAGTGTAATTGTACCTGCTTACAATGAAGAAGAAAGATGTTAGTATTGGACATACTAGTATGTATAAAAAGAGCTTTTTTTTTATTTCTCTTAATCAATTTGTTTTCAGTAACCCCTATGTTGGATGAAGCCTTAGATTTTTTAGAAAATAGGGTAAAAGAACATCCTTCATATAAATATGAGATTATTGTTGTGAGTGATGGAAGTAAAGATAACACAGTGGAACTAGTTCAAAGTTATGTGCAAAAATATAGCAGTGAAAAACTAAGATGCTTAGATTTAATGAAGAATAGAGGAAAAGGTGGTGCTGTGAGATTGGTAAATTTGGATTTAGTAATCAATGAAGTTAAATCATAATATATTATGAGTCATATATGTAAATATTTTAAAAATTACATTAAGTTTATATCTTATATATTGTTACAGTAAGGATATTACTCTCAATTTTTCTAATAAGAAATGAATTATGTCTACCAAATGTAGTACCCATTAACCTATCACAATAGTAGATTTAAAGATAAGATTAAAGCCTGCAATGCAATTATTTTATCTACAGGGTGTACAAAGTGCAAGAGGAGCTGCTATACTATTTGCAGATGCCGATGGTGCATCAAAATTTGAAGATTTAACTAAACTGGAATTAGCTCTTAAGAATATTACTAAATTGGACCCAATATCTCAATCCCCCGAAATAAATGACAAACTAGCTGTGATTATCGGTTCGAGAGCACATTTAGAAAAGGATTCTCTCGTACAGAGAAGTATATTTAGGTAATAAAAAATATCATTGATTATAAATATTGAATTACACAAAATGTTTAACTTAACAATTTCTTCTCTTAGGAACATTTTGATGTATGGATTCCATTTCCTAGTATGGTTATTTACTGTCAAGGGTATAAAAGACACTCAGTGCGGTTTTAAACTGTTCACCAGAAAAACGGCACAAATAACCTTTCAGAGTCTACATGTTAATAGATGGTATGAATATGTTCATATATAATATTATTATAAAAGCATCCCAATTAAAACAATTTCACTGAAATTTATTCAATTCAATGGTTTTTTTTACAGGGCATTTGATGTAGAATTATTGTATATAGCACAACAACTTAGAATTCCTATAGTTGAAGTTCCAATAACATGGACTGAAATAGATGGCTCCAAAATAACACCTGTTATATCTTGGATTCAAATGGGATGTGACTTAGCAATGATTTGGATCAAATATACAATTAGAGCTTGGAAGATCAAATACGAAACAAACTAAATAAGCACAACATGTAAATAGATTTAAAAGATCGTATTTTATTTTATTATCTTCGATTTTATTATTAAGATATAATATATTATATGCATTTATGGATTTCATTTATTATAATTCATTTGTATAACCTAAGATAAAATTAAAAGATGAACACCATGTAGATATTTTATTAAGCAAAAAGTATTACAATCTATTAGATGTAATATATAAATACAATAATATAACAATCACAATTAAAGCCTATTTGTAAATAAATGAAAACGAGAGTGTTTCTAGTTACACCAAAGACAATATTTATAAAAGATATATGAACTTCATGTATACAGTGGAGCATTTAGGTTCATTGTTTGAGCTCAATTCACAATGAGCAAGGAGTTTGCATGACATTGATATTTTCTTTATATTTAATAAAATCATTAAAAACCTAGTATACAATTTGGCAATTTTGAATTCATATAATTTATTTACATAATATTATAAAATCAGAAAACTATTTTGAAGTTAACGAAATAAATAACAGAACAGAGGAATGTGATACAAGTAGATTAAATAAATTATAAAACTATAGTTTAAATGGCAATAAAAAAATGGGAATAAACGATTCTACTACTTCAGAATTATAATTATGATGTTATTATGCACAAGTAGTTTGATTATATGGTGCCGACAAGTAATTTTGCAGGATTACTGTAATTTGCATAAAAATAGAAATATAAAATTTGAACATGTGGCATGGAGATTTCACAATAAAATCAGAATCTTTAAGAGAAATCACTACTTATGCATTTACAAACTTATTCATTGTTTTGGCCATTTATTTACCTTTTGGAGGAAATCTGGCAACTGAAGTCTACGGCCAACACTGGACGGAAGAGAAATACGCGGTTAGATCTTGTAGGGTTATTTACAATAAACATCCTCTATACTATGTTAGACATGCATTTGTTCAAGTCTCAGACATTACTGTGTGCGTTTTTAGTTGAAATAACAATTATTCTTAACACTTTAACTAAGAAATTTGTCTCAAGTCTTCTTAAATATAATTATTCTCATATTATCATAACCTTACATAATTATGTTTGCATCTTATAAGCAACATGAATATAAATCCTATGTATTATATATTTAATACAATTATAAAAATACAAATTTTTGAAGTTAAAGTTTGCTTTTAAAGCATTTAATAGCTTATATTTTATAACAATAGAATAAATGTAAGAACCATAGCAAAGTACAAATAGAAAATGTTTTACGAATTGCGAGACACCATTTATACCTTTAAGCCGAAGACCATCTTAAGAAACTGTTCGTAATGTATAGTTATAACTCCATCTTGATCCGTATCATATTGACGAAATGATGATGTCAACATCTAAAAAATGATAAAAAATAATCATAACAAGACTACATAAGACGAAAATATACTTAATACTATTATTGAACTTACATATAATGTGACACAAGCCTGGATAAAATCATCAAAGAGTATTGTGCCTCTGCCAAATCTATCAAACTTCTGTACCATTATACTGACAACTTCATCTGATAATCGATAACCAAATGCACTAAGCGCATTCTTGAGTTCATCCTTGTCGATATTACCAGAATTATCACGGTCAAATGAACGGAAACAGTTCTGCCAATCGCTTACATATTTCCATAGAGCTCCAAAATCATCAAATGTTATTGCACCTCTATTGTGTTTATCAAACATTCCTGTGATTAACCATGAGTGATTAAGTAATATATAGTACAAATATACTAAATAACACTAGGCAATTGAAACTGTCAATATTATCGCTAATAACTCCCATCAAATAATATTTATTTTATTTGTAATTTATTTTCCTCTTATCATTATATCTTATGATTCATAACTGCCCCTTAATAACAACTGATTCATCATTCTATATATATAAAATTGGAAATGTCTATTACAAAAACATATTTCGAATGATATGATGCAAGTTATGCATGTGTAACCACAATTCTTTACTTTGATTAATAATAGTGAGATTGCAAATAGTAGTAATAAATTAATAACTTCTTGATATAAAACTGTTTATGTAGCATACCTATCATAAGCCTGACAGTTTCTGGATTAAATGGATTCCATGTTCCATTTGACAAAGCTTGTTGTAATTCATCTGCAGATATGTAGCCACTTCTATCCTTATCAACTCTGTATAAAAATATTAGTATATATTAGTTCTCAAAACATAGTACAGAAGACAGTTATAAACAATAGATAGAAAAGTTAAATCGAAATACCTCCTGAAAATATCCCAAAGGAATTCTCTACTTGGCATTGGTGATTGAAATGCCATTTTCTCTGAAACAATAAAAAAAGGTCTTGTTTTAACCTGATCTTTATATTTGGAAATTGTTTTAAATAAAGTAGATTTGTGTTATATTCTTTTCCGAAAATAATAATTAATAAGAATGTGCGTTTCATACATACCAGTTATTTTCCCTGTCTTGAGAACTACAGATCACAATAAAATATAAAAAAATTACTTCTCCAAATATATTTTTTTTATTAAACACAAAGCAAACAACTAGTTCTTCGTTGATCGTTCTGGATTTACAGTGACATACAGTACATCAGTATTTTCCCACACGTCAAGGATAAATGAAAACCGTTTGGAAATAAAGAGAATACAAATTTGTATTTAACAAAATATATAAATAAATTCGTATTAACAGCTGACTTTTAAAACTATGAGTTATAACTATGAGACTTTAACAACAAATAAGGGAAATAAATTCCACCATTACTTTATCGTATTTTACTTAAAATATTAAATAAAAATTCACTATTTCCTTATAATGATAATAATAATTAAAATTATTTAACACAGTAAATGTTTAGTTTTAAATAAGTTAGAGTTTATGTATGTACGGTTATTAAAAATAAAAATAATGCTTTCTACTAGAATCACTTATGTTGTCGTTTTAAAAATAGCATGTTATATATAATAAAATATCGAGGGCTACAAAAAATTATAAATTTATATTTAAGATTATTTTATATTAATTAGTCTGATATTGGTTTGGAAAAAATAAAAAAAGATGGTAATAAAATAAATAACTTTCGGAATTACAAGTGCAAATTAATAATTAATTTCTAATAAAGAGTTTATTTCCTTACATTTGGCTGAAAAGTTGTTGACATTCCGTTACTATTCTTAAAAAAAAGGACAAGTCATTTATCATATTTTCTTTGATACTAAAATGGCGGATGTCTCAAGCGACGACCGAAAAGTAAAGTTAACAAAAAATGGCAAAGTTGTTAAAAGACGGCTGCGAAATCCAGAAGGTAATTTAAAGGTTTAATATCTAAATTTCATAGAAACTGTTTTTCACCATGTACCAGTCATTATTCTCTTATATCCTTTGTTTAGTTTTCAAGTGTGTTTTGTATTTTTGACTCTTACTACATTTTAGATTCGTAAGACTATTTCAATGTAATATTTGTTTTGAACTAAGAATACAGTTTAATCTTAACAATTCCTGTTATATGAGATTAAAGTGTTTCTGTACAACTGACAAGAGGTTTTTATATATACATGTACATTGCAAATGCTCATTATTAATTTTGTTCGCAGTGTATAAAATTAGAGAAATTTAAGTATTATTATGAACATTTTCAGAATGGCATAAACAAAAACAAAAACGTTTGCGTATAGCTGGACTAGAATACATAAATGCAAATGGTAAAGTCGTTCCACCAAAACAACCAGGGCCCGACTGCAATTGTCGCCGAAAATGCTTTCAAAAAGTCCCAGAAGACATTCGCCTAAAAACATTTCAGGGGTTTTATTCCATGAAAACCCACGACGAACAGAATGCTTACCTCTTTGGTCTAATGAGACAGGTTGATGTAAAACGGAAAAGAGTCAAATCAAGTAGTAGACGTACTTGTACCTTTGAATACTTTATAAGAGTGAAAGGACGAGAAACTCAAGTATGTCAAACAGCTTTTAAAAACATTCATGCCATCACAGAAAGGAAAGTTAGAGTTTTATGCAAGAAAATGGATGATGGGGTCATGTTTCCCAGCGACAATCGAGGAAAAAACAGTCACAGAAGATCTGGCGAGGTCCGGCTCCCTAAAGGTGTCATTGAACAAATTAAAACTCACATTTACTCAATTGTGCACACACATAGGTTAAAGGATTTTATCAGGCTTGACAAAATTGCAGGCTTAGAAATTAATATATCTAAAATGTGGAAAGATTATATAAAGACATTTGATCCTGAAAACATTTCAGCCACTATGCCTAAATCTAAAAGAAGTCTAGAAGGTCAGAGTGAGCAAACACAGACACCTCAACATGTACATCCTCAAGAGTCTTTTGGATCTATTGCCACATATTCTGGAAGTGGACACCTTGTTAATATAGGCGACAACTATTTTGAAAGTCAATATCAAACTGCCTCAGCTGCTTCTAATGCATCAAACTTTTATCCATCCCAAAATGGATCTCAAGGGATGGGAATAATTTTGCAATCAACTGTTACTAGAACTACTCAACCAACAGCATTTATTTTACTCCAAACAAAACCTGAGCCTCAACAAGAGAATTCAATTGCCATCAGCAACACTCCATACAACCAAAATGAGTTTATGATTCAAGATAAAGTAGATAAAAGCATGATTACTGATAAAAAAATAAAAAAGGAAAGAAAAAGGGGTCCGCTTGTGAAACAGTGGAGATATACCAATATATTCCATGATGAAATAAATGGTGCAGCATTAGCAGCAATTAAAACAAGACTTGGTATGTATTATGCTGAGAGTGATGCTGCAAGGAAAAAAGCCAAGGTTCGTCCCCAAGAAACTGTTCAGACACAAACTCCTGATCAAAATCATGTGCGAACGGAAAACCTTATAAGGACCGATAATCAGATGAGGACCGATGTGACATTTGTCACACCGATCAGGCCTTCACATGAAACAATGCGACCTATTGTTACAATATACACATAGTGGCTAACCAGTCTACATAAAATTAGATAGAGTAATAAGAATCAAATCCTAAAACCTAAGTAATTTTGTATTTTAGCCGCATAGAGTAGATTGCCATACTGAAGCTTTTAATTTAATTATTTACATTATATATTGAACAACTGATTATCTTTATGACAAACCGGTGGTTTGTACCAGTTTAACTATGTAATTCTTTTTTATTAAATATAAGTATCAATTTACAGTCATTATGTTTAAGCTGTATCTCTTGAGATTATTATATTATTAGTGATAAAAATCATGACATTTTTATATTATGGATTATGATCACATAGCACTTATTTAAAACTAAACATTTACTGTGTTACATAATTTTAATTATTTTTATCATTATAAGGAAATAGTGTATTTTTATTTAATATTTTAAGTAAAATACTTTAAAGTAATGATGGATTTTATTTCCCTTATTTGTTGTTAAAGTCACACAAGAAAAAGAAATTGTCTCGACATAAGAGTGTTCCAATTAATTATTTGAGTAGATTAAAAGTAGAATTTATAAATAACTAGCTTTTGCCGCGACTTCGTCCGCGTGGAATAGTGCCCTCCGGCAGATTTTTGGTTCTTCCCACATAGTTCCCGTTCTTGCGGGGTTTTCAGAATGGTCGAGTTCCCGTAGAATTTTCAGGATAAAACCTATGTTTTTTTTAATTAATAATGAAGTACTCTTAACCAACAACATATTTATTTGTTTATTTGAATAAAGATTAATATTATTATGTCGATACAGTGGCGGCGTAAGGCGTGGGCGACGTGGGCCACCGCCTACGGCCTCGCGGTACAAGGGGCCTCGCGCCTCAAAAATTTTAGAAAATTAAAAAAATATATCTAGTTTTCTTCTTCCTAGGAATTTCCCAGCTATAGCCAGGGTCTGCCTTATATGTTGTGAATAGTTTTGGCTAATTGTTTAACGACCGGTCGTCTGCTTGACATCAACTCTCTTTGGGAATCAGAATTAATTAAACCTATTTTGATAAGAATAGTGTGTTCAATGTTTTAATAATATTTAGCGAATAAATAGATAGTGTTTAAGTATATTGATTGCCCCCGAAAAGTGACGTTTTTTAATTGTTTTTATTTTCTTTGTGATTTGTAATACACCAGTACCTGTACTCGTCTACTTTACATGAAGTAACAAAAGTTTAATTGGTGATAAGTACATAACGCAGTAATTACTTGTCTATAAAATAGCTTTATAATATCTTTTGAAGGAAACCAAAGCTTTAAGTGTAAAAAAATGCATCGACGTTTAAGTTTTTAAAACTAGCTGGTAGTAAGAGTTTCAGGTTTCCATAGAATAGGTCCTCGCGAAATCTGTCTTGCCCACATCAAATTTAGGTCTTGCGCCGCCACTGTGTCGATACAACTTAAACAAATTATTTCGAACAAATTAGGTACCATAAAAACAGTTTTTGTGAGTTAATCTCAGATTAAGATAAGATAGACATATACTGTCGCGGACTGTTTTTAAGACCATTAAAAGAGCTATTATTCTTTAACATATATTTTTTGTGTATCTTGAACCGTTTTCACGGCGCACGCAACGGAAGGCTTCAAAGATGAAATAATTTCTCCCGTTTTTTACACATTTACCACTATATCTTTGCTCCTATTGGTCGTAGCGTGATGTTATATAGCCCACAGCCTTCCTCGATAACTGGACTATCCAACACAAAAAGAATTATTCAATTCTAACCAGTAGTTTCGGAGATTAGCGCTTCCAAACAAACTCTTCAGCTTTATAATATTAGTATAGATTGGAAGAGGTATGAGGTTAACTATATAAATATTCAGTCCTCCTCTCGTAACCTGCGTGGGTACAAAGAACTACATAAGTGTCTTGGGGGAAGGACAAACGGACACAGATGAAGAAATTAAATTTCAGCTGAAATGGAATTGTAAATTATATTAAAAAATATATCTAAACTAATATTATAAAGAGGTAATATTTTTTTGATTGTTTATTTGTGACGAATAGGCTCAAAAACTACCGGACCGATTTTAAAAATTCTTTCACCATTATGATTGTACATCTTTCCAAAGTAACATAGGCTATATTTTATTTTGAAAAAAATTAGGGATCCTTGCGGAAACTTCGATAACATAAACCACGGTCGATAAAAATCACAATTGAAATACCTTAAATCGCGTGCGCTGCAATAACTATTGATGATGGAGCAGAATAATGTACTACGATTTTTAATTTACGATTTTGTCAGTCAGTGGTGGCCTAGTGGTTAAGGGGCCCGCCTCTCTTTGCCGAGGGCGCGAGTTCGATCCTGACCCGGGCAAGTACCAATGTGATTTTTCCGAGTCATATGTACTTTCTAAGAATATTTAGACATCACTGATTAATGTTGATTCCCAAAAAGAGGGTTGATGTCAGGCAGGCGGCCGGTCGTGTATATCTAAGTATTATAGTTACGCCAATATAAAAACTTTTATAGTTTAACAAACTATTTAAATCGGCAACGAAAATAAGATGTCAATATTCATGTCATGGTATTTATACTTATCTAAATAACTTACTTTTTTTATTTAACAGTAGTTCAATACGTTTATATTGCTGTTTAAATTATTTTAATCGGATACTCCATTCAAAAGATATAGCGAGTTTAAAAATTTGGGTAACTTAAAAATTAACTAAGCGATCCGCTGCATCGCGTAGCGATGTTGATTGTGCGTAGCTGAACTGCGCATGTGCGTGCAATGTCTTTGACATAACTTAATTTCAACAAAAAACTTTAAAGATTACAATGATAAATAACTCCGAAACAAAACCAATTCGCTCTCTGCGCTGGCCGGCGCGGCGGGAGAGAGGCGGTGCTTGCGGGAACTATGTGGGAAGAACCAAAAATCTGCCGGGAGTCACTATTCCATGCGGACGAAGTCGCGGGCAAAAGCTATTATAAATATATGATTATTACTACATTACTATTTAGTTATTATAATATTAATATTATCAAACTTTAATGTCTAAGCATACAACAGTATTACATTTATTAATGTACTAAAATGTATGTTTTATGTTCTAATTCTACATGTCTATCTCGTGACAAGATATTAATAATTGGGATGAAATAAATATTATAACGGCACACTATCAGGATTCATAATCAATCAGATTATTTTGAAAGTGTGGATCTCTATGTATATATATTTATATATATAATTCTTCTGTGAGTGTGTATGTCACTGAACTTCTCTCAAACGACTGGACCGATTTTGGTGAAATTTTTTGTGTGTGTTCAAGGGGATCTGGGAATGGTTTAGATTCACAATTTTGTCCGCTGGACAATGTTTTTTTAATTATTTTTTAATTTATTAGTAGTTATTGATACAAACGTTTTTTCGACATTAGATTTGACAACTAATATGTCAATCATTCTGTCGCACTTCAAAACACGGAGATATGTATATGGCTTAACAGGTAAACTCCAAAAATATAAATAAAAAAACGTAAGATATTTCTTGATTATAGGGCGATACGAAGTTCGCCGGGTCTTATAGGCATTGAGCTTTTTCAATTGAATATATTTCTTAATATTGTCTATCAAATTAAGAATTTTGACTAGGAGAACCAGCTTTGCATTTTTCTCTAATTGTGTTCCGTTTTCTAGCCCTACAATTAAAACTGATGATCCTCTTTTATTAATTTTCGCTCGTTTTCTTCATCAATGTTTAAGACATGAACATAAGTTGCTGCTAAATAAAAAATCAGTATGTAATAAACTAAGGGACTAATTATATTATAAGCCTGTAGAACTTAAAAAGTTGTATCGAAATTCCATTTTATTATTCTAACATCGTTCTATGTATGTTCAAACATGAAAAAAAACGTATCACTTAACACTTACGGTAAAAGATATGAATTACTTTGGCCTAAGTGCTGACTAGCCCTCTTATGTAAAGCATAGATAGTATCATTGATATTTGGAGTATTTCCAATTAAGCAGCCAAACTGTGAGGAAATCTAAAATTTCTAAATGAAAGTGAAATATTTGAACTTTCTGTAGGTATACATTGTCTAAAAAACTATTTCGGAACATGTCAATACAGTTAATTCTTGAAACAAATGATATTCTACAATAGTGTTACATTCATTAGTAATTATCTGAATGGGTAAATGATAAATACATTTGGAATATTTTTAAAACTTTATTTTACACTTAAATTACGCGGACAATACACACACTCCTCCGACAGACTTGATCTTCTGCTCAGCTGTCTTTGAGAAGAACTTGGCCTTAACAATGACGGGTTGCTTAGGTAGTTTACCCTTGCCGAGAAGCTTGTAGTATCCCTGGAATACAAACAAGTATTAACAATACAAAATTAAAATAATGGAATGAGTGAGAGTATACTACTTAATATTTATTGTTTCTATTATTAACATTTTCCCTCTTAAATAGATTCTTAATAATAAGTTACAGGATCTTTAATGGTTCAAAATATAAATATATTTTTGTTTATCATAGAAAAAAGTACTCACAGCTTTGACAATGTTGATAACAGGGACTTTGCCATCAGTAGCATTGGCGTACTTGAGCCTAGACTGCTCAGACACTAATGTCCACAGTTTGTCCAAGTTGAGAACAGGGCAGAATTCCTTATTCCTCCTCAAGTGGTAGTTTCTCATACCAAGCTGGAAAAATTATAACAATAGTTAAGTTTAAGTTTTAAACTTAGTATTAATTAAGGTAAAAAGTGAAGTTATTACCTTGCCAAAGTATCCAGGATGGTATTTGTCCATGTTAATTCTGTGGTGGTGCTCACCTCCAGCGTTACCGCGACCTCCGGGATGCTTACGGTGCTTACCTGTAATGTTATCACCACTTTACAATGTTTATACAGAGAATTTCTATTCATAACCTTAAGTCAAACAATATTTAAACGCCGGCTTAATAATATAACAAAACAATAACATAAGGCTTTACACAACGTTCTTCATTTAATGCATGTCAAATACATATAAAACGAAAACAATATTACAAAAACCGTGCTTTTTTTAATGTGACAGAAAATGTGTTGGAGAATTGATGTTTTTAAAAATCTTTAAGCATAGAGCGATTAAAAAGTTTACTAACCGATACGTCCATGTCCATGGCTCACATGTCCTCTTAACTTCCTAGTCTTCTTCTTGGAGGTGGCCTGCAGAACGACAGAAAGGTTAACATACTCGTATTAAAAAGTTTTACCGAATAGAAATATTTTGACCGGCAACACATGATTCACTACAATGAGACAAAACTGCAATAAAATTCATATTTGTTTCATGGATTGCTAAGAAAATTTCAGATAAACACGATTATATACACTAACCATATTCCTTGCTTTCAACAAGAACTTTACAAAAGGAAAGAAAGATGTCAAAATGCGCCAAGTGTCATAAAATAATTGTTGCCAGCTAAAAGTGAAGTTATTATTCTGGTAAATACACATGAGAATCCTATTAATGAATATACAGATATAGTTCAAATTTCCAAATAAATATAATAAAAAACGTATCTAGATATTAAAAAACTAAAAGAAAATCCAAATGAATATAATCCTCTACAGTCAGTTTATTCACAAGTTAGTTTATTTAAAAAAACAAGTTGTAATTTTATATCTACAAACACATATATACATTTTTTAATAAGTTTATACTTTAAAATTACGGTTTAAAGTATATTTCTACTAAATGAACGTAAGGGTAGGTAAATTATTTTTTAATTTATTTTATTTACAACATCAGGACTTGTCCGTTTTTCCTATTCATTATTTTATTGACATTAAGATTTCATGAATATGTATTCAGTGAAAAATATATTAAATATTTATTTGATCTCTACCCTGCCTGCACTCATAGTGATTGATGTTGTATTTGAAAATAAAGTGTAGATAGTGGATAATTTCTAGTTCATACATAATTATTTACTAACTTAACCGTTTTAAGTAATATATAACTTAGAATAAATTGTAAGTGATATATGTATTGAATACTTTATTGCAGAATCACTTGTTGAAGTATATATTGTAAGTCCATTTTTTATTACTTTATTAATATTCAAACTTAATTGCTTTTGCGTTTACTTCAAAGTCAATAAATATATACATACTAATTTTATTGTTCTATTATATGGATACTAATTTTTCATTTAAATTATGACAATATAGTAGAATATTTTTGTTTTATTTTTCTTTTTAATTTTAAATATTTTTATGTTTTAAAATAAGTTGAAGTTAGAAGTTTATATTAAGTTAAAGTTATAAAAATCGGCAACGACATTTCAGATTTCGGTTTTTTTTACGATTGACTTCACTTATAATTGACATAATTTAAAGGGGTAGTAGTCTGTGGTCAGTACGTTTCCAGAAAATGGTTGGATTGTGTGTCGAGCCCTGACACGTATTTAGTTAAAACTCGTAAATAAATGTTGGAAAAGTTTGTGGTCATGATATATTGATTGAACCCACCTTTCTAGAATTACTGAGAAACATTAAAAATGGAGTTCCGTGAGACGCTTTTAGCCGCTCAACGAAATCAACAACAAAAATCATCTGTTGTAAGTTTTGGTTCTTATTTTGAGACTTATTAGCATTTTCCATACGATTGATAAATGTTCATTGTCACTTAGTTTAGAATTTTAAAGTAACTTAATTCAGTATTATTTCGGTTGAACTTGAAGTATTTTCAAATATAGTTTTTAGCCCATAAAGTAAAAGTACAAGTTATATTTATCCTTGTTCAACAATTATATGTCCAACAATTATAATATTAAGCTATCTATGTACATAGAGTTTTATTCATTTGCAGGTCAATTGTTATCATTTTTACAATAACTAGTGTCTCGCTATAATTTCAGGGCAGCACATATTATAAAGCACGTTTTGACCCTCCAAGGAAAGAAAACAAACCAAGAGATAAATTGTCAGCTAATATACAAAAGTTTTTGGCGAAAAAAGAAGAAGAGGAGAGACAGAAACAATTAGAAGCACAAAGAAAACGAGAAGAGCTACTAGCTATGAGAGACCCCAAGGTTAAAAAATCTTAAGTACATATTATTCTACAAACAATGTATTTCACTAACAATTATATGGTAAATCAGAGTATTTTATAACTTTTTATAAATATTACAGGCTCTAAGAAAAATACAGAAAACATTGAAAGTTATAAAGTCTGCAAATAAGTCGGTACTAGCAGATGCTATTGATAGGGAACACACTGCCGTTACCCTGGAGGGTCCGGAGCAGCCCGACCAAGATGACTATGGATATGAGTCTCAGGAAGCAGCCGCCTTATATGAGAAAATGATGCAAAAATATAGTAAACTGCCGGAACAACCTAAATTTTCATCTAGCGGTAAGTATTGTTCTTACAATACTTTCTTTGTTCTTACAATTCTTCATCACATAAATATCTCTCTTGACATAACTGTTTGAAAGTTGGTTTTTACCTGTAAGTTAGATAAATAATCATAAGATTATATTTATGTAGTATGTAAAGATGAAAATATTGTGAAAATTTTGGTTAATTTTTAGAGAAATATACATTAACTTATTTTTTGCATTCACAATCCAACTTTCCCACACTTTTGACCACAGACCAGGATGTTTTGGTTAAAATAAACATTTATAAATATAATAGTTTAACATTATATAAATGATAGTTGATTCATTTTATTATATAAGGTATGTAATTCTTATAGAAAATTGTAAATATATTTATAATATAATAAAAATTTAGGAAAAAAATGCTTAATAGCTCTAATTATTAATTTTAGAACAACATTAACAGTACTAACACATTTTCTTGTAAAATTCCAATCAAAATAAAACAATTTCTATCTGATTTAATTTATATAATATGCCATATAAAAATAAAACCATTGCTTTCAGACCTCAGTTTTAACTTAAAGTATTAAAAATTAAGGATAACACCTTTTGGTGTTTTCATTTACATTGGTTCTACAAATTATCTCGTTAACTTACTTTAGGTATAGATAATTATAATTGTATTACTTACTTACCTCAAATGTTTATCACAATTTTTACATGTTTTATATTTACATTAGTTTTTTTTTATTAGTATCATTATATACATTTTTCAGGTAACAATGTAAATAAAGATATAAATGGTACTCGGGAAAGAGTGAAACATGCTCTGCGTCATGAAGATGATCCAGTCCCTCATAAAAGACGACGAAGAACTGAAAATGGAGGTAACTATAATAATTGATTATAGATAAAAATTGTTAAGTAGAAGTATTTATTCAGATAAAAGCATATATCTTAAAGTGTTTTAGTGCATTCGTGTTTAAATTGTTGATTGAGAAACCAACATACCCAAAGACCCATGCCATCAAGGTCAATATATATTATGAGCTCACTAACGAAGGCACTCTGAATAGATTCGTTGTGGATTTATAGGCGGTAGAAATGGGAGCGAGAAGTATAACAGCTAAATCTCTCTACAACCTACTAAAAGACTTGGGCTTGTCCAGAACTCACATTAATACTGGAAATATTCCTGGAACGCACTTCGAAGGCAGCCCTAGTAGGTTCTTTTCAAATTTGGTTAGGTAGAGAGAGGAGCTTGGACAGTGAAGGTGACCGTTTAACGCGCTTTAGATAGGGGCCCCTTGAGCTTACACCTGGGTCGCAAGTGCCAGGCACGCTTGAAGCTCCTCTCCCTGCAACGCGATGGACCCGGCACCCGCACGGTGAATCCATGGAATCCTGAGATATTTCAGATTTCACCGCTCTACAAGATCTTATTCATTAACTTATTAATAAAAAGATATTTTGTCTCTGAAAGATGTCTTTGTAATAAGATGTAAATTTTATGATTGATTAAATTTATTGATTATATGAACTTCGCCCTCTAAGATATTCAGTGTTATAAGACAAAATGGATTCTTGACCTTTGTGTTAATATTTTTTACATTTATTACTTAAAAACAGTTCAATCTGAACTGTTATTTATGTGTTTGTTCTTCTCAAACCAACTTTAAGGCTTTCTATATAATATCTTAATCAAATAAAGTCATTCTCTATGAATTATACAACCGATGAAATATCAGAACAATACTAGTGATATCTTCAGAATCAAATAAATTTGGTTAAATAATTTTCCAAGTGGTGTTCTAAAATTTGAATTTGCTTAAGTCAAATCTTTTACTTATTTTGAAATTTAAATCATATTCATGGATAAAAATAAAATTGTCTATAGATAAATGTTTGAAGTTACTAAATATATAAACATACATAATACATTTACACAATATAAATGTTTAATAACTGTATTAAAACAGACAAACATGTCTAAGAAAAATAGTATATTATTAGTAATTTTTCTATTCCTTATATGTATATTTTAAAGTAGTTTTTAAAAGTACCAATATAGTTTTTTGGTCATAGGTAACTTGTATTAGACAATGGTAAAAAATATTTTCTAACTAGCATCATCCTAATATTTTACTTGTAAACCTTATATATTTACATTATCAACATCTTTGTGATAAAAATAAAATCAACAATAAATACATTTGTTCAATAATAACATCACTTATTTGAGGAGAATTATTTTGGATCAAACATAAGAGATGGTTATAAAGTGCTCTACTTAAAAATATTTTGAGTCTCTTCGTACTTCAAAGCTATAATTCTATAAATTAAATTGTTCATAAATTATTATTACAGACAGAGATCTCAGTCCGCAGCAGAGATATGACCCAGAGGGGAAGAGAGATGAAAAAACTGACAGACCCAAAATAAAGAAGCCGGCCCCACCACCAATGGATTTTAATCAGTTGTTGAAACTAGCTGAGCAAAAGAAAAGTGAACCAATTGAACTGGTACCAAAGAAGGTTGTGTCAGAACCAGAACCAGAGCGGCCGATGACCAAGAAACAGAAACGGGAATATGAAGAGGAAATGGCGAGGCGACAGCGGAAACAGATGAGAATGGAAGCTGAAAAATCAGGAGGACGGAAAAATAGCCACGGAATTGGTAAAAAGACTTATGTAGTACTTGTAACACCAAGTATAATAGTGAAACAGAATATTCACAAAAGTTTAATTTCAATGATTGAGAATCAAATTATATTCATCCATTTAAATTTTACTTAAATCACTTGTAAATAATATTTATAGAATTATTAATATCGTTATTAAATTTTTTAGTTGCAAAAGAAGAAAAATCATCAGAGAGAGACAGAAAACCACAGCCTCCTGGACTTGGTCGAATCCCAAAATTAAGTGACAAAATGTCAAGTACTACAAAAACTGAAGTTAAAACACATGACAAGGAAAGAGAAAAAGATAGACGTAGCAGCGACAGGGACAGAGGAAGAGAAGAATTAGTGAGAAGGGAAAGAGAGAGGGCTAGAGAAGATGCACAACGAAAAGAGAAAGAAAGATGTAGGGAAGACGCACTAAAGAAAGATAAAACTAAATTAGATAAAGAAAAGATTGAACGAGACAAATTAAGATTAGACAAAGAAAGATTAGATAGATTAAAAGCTGAGAGAGAAAGAATTGACAGGGAAATGGAAAAATTAAATAGAGATAGGGAAAAATTAGAAAAAACAAAAGCGAAGCTAGAGACGAAAACTATAGATAGAGATAGGCATCTAGATAGATCAAAGTTAGGTTCCAAAGAACGAGATGTTAAAAAGAGTATAGATTTGAAGTCACAAAACACATACAGGATAGACAAAAATTGTAACGAAAAGAAGCCAGTGCAGCAAAGAAACAGTGACTACAAAATGAATGGTCAGAGTTCACAGGGAAAACCAGTGCCAAAAGTAGGTAAGGAACAAAATGTAAATAGGTATGATATTAAAGATAAAGCTTTACTTAAACAGAGACCAGTGAATGGTGTTGCAAGGACGGGGGAGGCGAGTAGAGGCTTACAGAAACAATCAGACGACAAACGCCCTACTCTTAACGGAAAAGTTGCTCCAAAGATGACAAACAGTTTTGATTTCGATAAACATGTCAATTCACTTGGTAAGAACGGCACCAAATATACAGTCGGTGATGTTAAGAGGAAGCCAAATCCTAACGACATTAAGAAGAAACAGAAACGTAAGTACACATATAATGTAAAATGTATTAAAATTATGTTCAAAATTATTAAACTTAAATATTTTCAGGTCGAATGGTAGACTCAGATTCTGAATATGACTCCGAGATGGATGACTTCATTGATGATGGAGATGAGAATATGGATTACTCCAAACATATTAAAGAAATATTTGGTTATGATAAATCTAAGTGAGTTATATTACTCTATTATTGACTTTATTAAAAGTGCATATAAAATATGAAGTAGCCTTAAAAAAAATAATAAAAGTTTTAAGTACATTAACCATTAACATATTCTTCTATACAAATTTAGTGATTTTTTAAATATTTTCTCTATAAAGATACCGAGACATGGATGATGATGATGATCCCACGATGGAATCTAGTTTTGCTCGACAACAAAGAGAGGAATATATAAGCAAGAAGATTGGTAATATTATATTTAATGCAGTTTGTATTTGATACAAAATTAAATATGATTTAACATTAATTTATAATGGTATATAATTTAAGGTATAATGGAAGATTTAGAAGATATGAGAATGGAAGCAATGGAAAAAAGCAAAAAGAAGAAATCCAGACGACTGAGTGATGATGACTAATCCAAATTGATTTAAAGTACATTGGACCAATACAGTTTTATCTTTTATAATTCTGTATGCTTCAAAATGTATATACAGAATATATGAAGCATAAATATATGAAGCTGAAATTACTTTTGTTTAGACCACACCAAGCAAGGGAATAATAACTTTAATCTTGTGCTTAATAAGTTATAATGAATCAATTAAAATAATATTGTTGCCCTCTTGTATACTCTTTGTATAATAATTGTTGATAAGCATTACAATAAAACATTTACTATATGAGTTTGCACAAATGTAACATATGTTATATACATTTCAAAATAAAACTGCCCCTTATACATGATTAATTTATTGTACTATTGTTTTTTTTTTGGTTTTTGAGTTGTAAATAATATTAAATCATTTGTGATAATCAGTTTAAGCACTAAGTTTTTACTACTCAGCAAAGTAATAAAAATATGTGGAATAATATTTTGTTGAATATAAATTTACTTTTATTTACACTAAATGCCTTTTGCTGGATTCGTAACATTATTAATTTATGGGCACTTAATATTTGCTTTATGTGTAATAATATTTAGATTTAAAAATATGTATTAAGAAATTATTTAATTAAGAGGTAAAACAATTTAAAATATATGGGTATGACAAAATAAAATAAGGACAAAAAAATATGATTAAATTTATTACGAGCATTAACATGTTTCTTTTTTTTTTTTGTTCTGTTTGTCAAACCAAAAATGGTTGTGCCAATTTAAAATGTTGATTGTTTAATTGGCTTTATTAAGATAATTGGACATTACTGTTTCACTATAACTCAAATAATTCTGACCTCTGCACAAACTACAAAGAAGTTTGTCAGGATTTTATATCTATATGTTATAACGTTTTGCTATTATCCCTGAACCACTAACTGAATTACTGGACGACCTAATTGGAATAATAATAAAATTGTGACCAACTACCAAATCGTTTTTATAGTGTCAGTAACATATTACTCACTTATACCTTAAAAATTCACTATTACTCTTTCGTAGCCGATTAAGTGTTTAAGGGATTGTTAAATCCACATTCGAATTGGTGAATATTATGATTGGTGTTTTTCTAAGTCATGACTGGAGGATTCTATACATGCAATTGCTTCTTTTATTAATTATTTTTATAACGGCGCACGGGCATTGCTATTATTTTAATATAAATTTCTGAACTAAAAGTTCTAATACAATGTATAAAAGAAATTTCTTTTCCAAAAACTTAAATTTGTATGGATGGAGATTAAATTGAAAAAAATAATATACATATATAAATACCCATAATGAAGAAGAAGATTGTAAGGACGATAAAAGAGTACAAAAAATCTTTTCTTATTACTTTTTAGTTATGTTTATCTATTTGTATTGTTAAGATCCTCAAATAAAAGCATCCATCAAAATAAGAAAAAAAAAAGCAAAATTGTTTGAAACAAAAAAATATGTATATATATATAATTAATTTTGCAATAATAGATTTTACTTTATTTCAGAAATACTATTATTATATTCTATGGCAGTTCATATTAGCTTTATAGAATTCCAATGTCAAATATGTCAAGATTTATGTGTGAACTTATTTTACAACATAGAAAAGTACGTACCTAACGTAGCCTCGTAGGTGTAAAACCATTAAGAACGTGTATTTTTGAAGAGTACAAAATAGTTAAAATAATTAGTGAGCGTAAAATTTTTGACTAAGGATCTAACACTAAAATAAATTATTTAGCTTATTTTATTTATATACATTTTTAGAGAAATAAATAAGGTAAATGTCAACATTTTTGAAATCATAAGAACGCTTATTAATATATTTTGACCTTAAGACTTCATAATAACGAAATACAATTTATTTTTTATGGTCCCTAATTAAATTGAAAATGTTTTATTTTAGTTAACTATGAAAACTTTATCAAGTATTGAGGATATACCCGAACTGTGCAAGGAGAACGTATACATTAAAGACAAAGAAAGTTTGTTAAAGAATATAAACAAGATCATAGCTGAAGGCAATAAGAAATTGCAAATTTTGACAGATTTTGATCACACATTAACAAGACATGATGTGGATGGCAAACCAGTGCTCACAAGTTTTGGTGACTACAATACACACAATGATGACTTATATAATCTAGTGATAATGTAAATTACATGATTTTATTAATAATTTTTAGGAATGTTTAAGGAGTGTCCCTCAGTACCCCAAAAGTACAAAGATGATGAAACAAAGTTAGCCAATAAATATAAACCAATTGAAGTAGATGCTGATATGAGTATTGAAGTCAAAGTGAAACACATGAAAGACTGGTATATGGCCTCACATAATTTAATGAAGTAAGTATATAATACAGCTGTTATTAATTTATGAAGATACCTATATCTTCATATTTGAAAACAAAACTCCTATATATATATATTTAATTTCAGGGGCCTTAAGTTTCCTAGGAATGAACTTATGGATGTTGGTCATAAGATGGTTGGTTGTTTCCGGTAAGTAACATTTTTTATTTCTTTTACATCTTTCATAGGATACATTCACATTGTATGTTCTAATATATATGCTACATAATATACAACATAGTTATAATCTTAATTAATGTTTCTGTTATGTGGAAAACTGTGACAAAAAAAAAGTTATTTCCATTAAATATTGTTCCTTTATTCTAAGTCAAAATTCACAGTTTTAGTATTGTATTGTGTGTAAAAATACAAAAACATTATAGGTGTACCAATAGTACAAGAAATTGAAAGTTTTTAATGCTTTTAATTATCTTGACTTTTTTCTATTTAAATTTGAATCGCTCTTCTGTACTTTGTGTAGCAATTTTAAATATAAAATATTTTTGGTTTAAAACATCAATTTTGTTCTGATTGAGTAATAATTGAAGAAAGTTAAAGCATCATATTTATTTGATATTTTATTAAACTTGTATACTTTTAAATAATATTTTGATTCCATTATTAAATTATTTGTCATTATGTTTATTTATATAGAATGAAGGTAACCAAACCATAATATAATAAATTATTCCCTTTTATTTTTTTAAAGGAAAGGTGTTAATGATTTGATTTCTTGGAGCGAGCGTCACCAGGTACCTGTGCTAGTCTTCTCAGCTGGTCTCGGGGAGTGTGTTGTCGCTGCTCTTCAGGCTGCTAAATTCTTACTACCCAATGTCAAGGTTTGTATTAAACATATTGTTTTTTTTTTAACATTTCCACATCCTTATGCTCAGTCCAACTTTACTGTTTTATTCACAGGGTTTTCAATGTTTTTTTATGTAATTTTTTTACTTATTTCTGACGCATAATGAACCAACTCATGAATTTGTATTCTGTTGTCATGTTTTTCGGTCACTTAGTTTGTTTTCAGTTGATTTTATAACTGATAAAATAGGGAAGCTTTTGTTCGATATATTACATTAAATATATTTAGATAACTTAAAGATTGTAAAGTATTCAAAGTTACAAGTTGTTTTCTTTTTGGACTAACCATGGTGTTATATTCAGTTATAACTAAAATTAATAATGGTGTTATAATTGTAACAAAACTTTGAATTTACTATACATATGGTTTTAAACAATATTTCTTATCAATGACAAATTTGTTTTAAGATATTCTCGAAGTTATCAAAAGTACATAGTTAATGTAAAGTAGGTGTATACATATAGTATGTAGTACAAAGTAAATATTTATAGTCTTTTGTTGCAGGTGATATCCAATTTTCTAGCAATGGATGAAAATGATAACATAGTTGGCATTCAAGGTGAAATAATACACACTTATAATAAAAATGAAACAGCTATAAAACACACAGAATATTATGGTATGGTTAAAGAAAGGAATAATGTTCTGTTAATGGGTGACAATATCGGAGATGCTGGGATGGCAGAGGGGATGGAGCATTGTGATGTTGTCATCAAAATAGGGTTCCTCGGGAGAAACACAGAAGCCAACCTACAGAACTATGTGTGCACATTTGATATAGTTGTTGTTAATGAACATACTATGGATATAGCTAATGCAATATTGAAACTAGTGCTGTGAATTTTATATTATATATTTTAGTGTTGTTGATTTAAAAAGTTAATTTTTTTTGTTAAATAGGTTTTATTGATAATTTGCTAACTTTAAATTCTTATTATAATTCAATAACTTGTATACTCATGAAGCAAAATGCATGTCTGAGGTACTTGGTACCTGTATGAGTTTAAAGTTGATTTTTTTAGTATCTAGTATTGTTTACAGTCTTTTTTTTTATTAATATGTCATGAAATAAGTACAAGCTATATATATTTTTTGTTATGAAATAACATTTCAAATTTTTATGTACAATTCTCATTTATAAGTATAACTTATTTTGAGATTACAGTTTCTTAGGATGATTTGTGGTTGTGGTTTTAAAATTTTCTGTTAAATTGATATTTGAGAGATAAAAAACTGCCTGAATAGATTTTAACTTAACTTGAAAATGTCTTTGGTATATACATATTCTTAATACTGCTTCCTTTAATGGAACATGTGCTTTACTTTTTTTTTATAACATTCTTTTGTATTAAAATTGTAATGGAAGATTCTTTGTCAGAATAAAAAAAATATTCATCATCATACAAACTTTTTGTTGAGTTTTTATCCATTCTTGTCCTATGTTGTTGCAAAAAGTGGGGTGGTGTAGGTGTGTGTATGTAACATAGAAATATTTACATATTTTGATGCTGTTCATTTTATTTGAAAACCAATTAAATTGCAGTGGTTCTAAGTCGTATTTGTTAAATATCTTTTCATCATTGTAAAAGTATTAGCTCTTAATTTTTATTAACACTCGATTGTGCTTTAAGAGAAGTTTAATCTTTAAATGATGAACAATTTGTAGCTCTTTTTCTATTTGATAAAAATCGTTACATAAAAATATTTCCATGTTAACATTTCAAGTAACACTTCCTTTGATGATGGTTGGCGCTTTTTTATATATTAGGTATTAGTAAACCCGGCGGACTCTGTTTCGCCACCAGAAGGCTTTGTTTTAGGTAACATTTCGATTGGCCATTAAAAGATGAAGAATTTTTTTTGTTTTATATTTGAAAAGGAAAACTTTTATTTCATTTCAAAACAGTAATGAATTCATTTCGATTACAAAAATGAAGTGTTATTTAGTTGAACTTCTCTAAGTAAATGAAAGTGAATCCAAAGTAGATACCGAATCAAAGCGTTATACGTGTCCGCAAATTATCCGTTTCATTGAAGTGCTCCTTTGTTAAAACCACATTTTTTTGTTTTTTGGTCTAACGTTAACACAAATAAAGCGGATGGTTTCCCAACTCGTGAACACGCAAAGTATAACTGCCCATGTGAAAAAACAATGATTTTCTAAATTTATCTCGCAAATACTAATTGGTTTTAAGAGTTTAAATTACAAACACAATACCGGTTTGTCACATGAAATTAACTGAGCAAAGAACAATGAGTAGCTGTCAAACAATGTATCATGCACCGGCACCATCTACTTAACATATTAATTTGTACTACATGTTATGTATCAGAGGTGGCGCTGAATGTGAAAAAGGTTTTCCAGCTTATCGCTTTTCTGTTGAATTTTTTTTGAATTATTTGCTATAAACCCTCGGAGCCCGAGACCTTTCCAACGAATGCAAAACCGTGGAAATAGGTTCGTTCGTTCCGGACTTATTTTTATATAGTAGTTACTTTAGTTAGTGGCGTTTCCTTATTAAAGAAGATTTCTTACAAATCTCAAATTATCATCCATATCTGTCATTATACGTCAATTATATAGAGCTGTCAATTGCGTTTTGTTATTCCAAGTCTGATTCCATTTTGTTATACCACGTTTTATAGTGACTGACGTTTCATGTCAAGTCACACGGGAATACTGTCGAACGGGATAAAAAGTATCCTATGTCCTTCTCCTGACTCTAAGCTGTTTGCCAATTTTCAGCTAAATCGGTTCAGCCGTTCTTGAGTTATAGTGGAGTAACTAACACGACTTTCTTTTATATATATACATTTGAATCTATTTAATAGACAGGAAAATAAAACAAGGATGAAAAAAAGAAATTTAATATCTTGTTATTATTAAAAACATGTATGTATGTATGTATGAATATAAATGTATTTTCTAGTCACCGCTGTACTTGTTTGTGTTCTCTAAAAATTTTAATTCTCTGTGTAATATCATTTTCATAACATTGCAATACTTATGTGTCATAGATTAGCAAAAGAATACAAACTGTATAATGATATCAAAACGATCCAATTACTGTGTTTGTGTGATTAAATATGCACGATTTCTCTATTATATAACATTTCTATTCAATTCAATATATTTGTTTGTTTAAATTAAAATGGTTTTTTACCGGAAATATTATTATATTAGTTGGATAAATGCACAAGTTGTATTCTGATAAGTCCTGTGCCAACATAAAACTGCCTTTCTTACAGAAACTGATTCGTTATATTAGTGACGTAAATGACTCAAAATTCGTTTGCTTTAATAGCTATTTATAAATATTCTGTAGTATTCTCAAAAATAACTTTTAGATTATAACTTAAGATATGACGAAATACATTTCGTTATTAAGACTAGAAATAAATAAATTATACATTGTGTCAAATTTAAACTGAAATTTTTAACATAATTATTTTTATATAAATGCCATTTTAAATATTTCCATGATTTTAGATAAAATTAATTTGTTTTCGATCTTAATAATTTATATTTTAAGGACTGAATCATAAATGCCTTTGTCTCTTAAACTTAGGAATATTAAAAAGACATGGCAAGGTCTACCGCTCCGACAAGTTAGTTTGTCGAAATGACTGGAAAATACATAATACATCATCACTACCAGTTTAGTTTAAACTCAACAAATTAAAAGCTCTAAATAAACAACAGTCTTAGAACATACAAGGTATTTACAAGAATATTTATTAAATATAAAAATACCCTACTGTACATATAACAATTATTATCAATGTAGAAATATATATCTGTTATGTATGTACAACTAGAAACAGTATTAAAAATAGTCAAATCTTTAGGAATCTAGATCTAGGCAGTGTCGAGAGAAATACACGGGCACGGGCACTACACAAGGCACTTGTAAATAGAATTAAATAAATATGTATATATAAAACGCTACAGTTTGACAGATAAAAAAGCGTCACAAAGAACCACAGACTAATAAATGTAGTTGGAATGTATGCTGACATCAAGAAGAGTGTATTTCTCATCTTAAATCCACATCCGTTTACTTCTAGGTGATAGACACGAAATGCAGATTTTTTTAGTAACATAAAACTTTCGTTCTGTATTCTATTTTTGAATCTGTGGCAAGACTAGTGTAGATAACGAAAAAACGATCTAACGAAGCGCCAGATATGAGAAAGTAATGTAAGGTCTAGACACCACCAGTCTCCGACAAGGCAAGTATGTACGTTAAAAGTTATGACACGAAGGAAGCCAAATGCCTAATTCATAAAAATATAATTTCATTAATTTAGTATTATATGTGATACGACGAACAATGACGAACTCGTCTGGCACCAGCGACTGGCACCAGAGCTCGGACTTAAGGTCGGCGAAGTATCGATAATCAATAAGTACCATTGAACGTTGAACACATAAGACCGTAAGCAATTCTACTAACACATTGGCAGATTTATTGGAGGTACTCCTCCAAGGCGCCGTCCATAGACCCTCTTATAAAATACTCGGTATAAAAGTCGTTGACAATGGGAAGGCACGGCGTCGCCGCTCACGGCCCGAGTCCGACTAACAAAACGACGCATTGGTCCCGCGGTATCGTATAAAAGCACAATATATTATCACTACAATTATAATACATTATTTTCTAACGACAGATCACAGCCTAGTGTTTAATGTAAGAGATGTTGGCGGGTGCTCTCCGCGTCACGTGATCGCCGTCACGTCCGGCTGAGTCTTGTGGAGCCCGTCCTCGTCCGTGGCTCTGGAATATGTTAACAGACACTTTGTATATCATCAACATTATTGAAATGGAGTCACATCCAAGTGTGCGTGTGTGTGCGTATGTGTGTGCGTGCGTGTGAGTGTGTGCGTACGTGTGTGCGCGTGTGTGTGCGTACGTTACCTGTAAACGTGTGCGGAGGCAGAGGGCGTGTGGTAGTGTGCGGCGTACGGTCGAGCCCGCCGCCGCCTGGCGAGCACGGCGCGCCCGAGAGCACCCGGACGAACGGAGTTACGGATCGCATGCCATGTTAATCTGGAATACATACAAAAATGTGTTAATGTTCATTTAATTTGGAGCTTTTACTACAACCTATAGATGAAATTACGTCAACAGGCCGAAATATAAAATTTAAGAAAAATATACAGGGTGACTGGTGAATTACTATCGATATTTGAGGACGTGATATTTGACGATCATATATGACAAAATAAAAATTAATATAACATAAATATTAATAAACTTCTAAGTAAAGTTAATCAGAAGTTATGTAATTAATTACGCATACACACACACTCACACAGACGCGGCGGCGGCGTAGTGTTGTATCAGCACGCCGCCGCACGCGTCCACACTTGGAACACTTGGAACGTGTCAACACTTTATTTATTTATACGGAAATTTGGTCAAAAATTAAGTACCTATTTTTTTTACATAATTCGAATGAGAATCATGTACCGAGTACTCTCCTTAAATATTGATAGTAATTCACCAGTCACCCTGTATAACAAAGATCAACATACACCACTCAACATAAACTGCGGGACTCTGAACGTAGTAATTTAAGGTTTAAAGCTAAGACATTCAAATATTTTTTTCACCAAAATCTTCTTGAATTTGGACAGGAGGGGGAGTATTGATATTCTGTATTTTATATGTTTAGTCTGATGTAGTAACCATACCTGGGCGCCAACGCCGCCACTGTAGTGATGATGACGACCAGCCAGTAGACGGGGTCGACGAAGGCGTGATGCATCACGAAGTACGTGGAGGGTAGCTTGAAACAGGAAACGCATACTGTCTGGTACACCAGGGTGAGAAGGAAGAACGAACCCAGGGAACCCGTCAGGGCCAGCAGGTGGATCACGGTCTGAGGGGTCATATAACACATATATAGAAGGGACCTTCATCATATATTATTATACATATATCCTGTAAACAGTACCGGTGAAATGGACAAACAACACTATGTGACGTTTTTCAAAGTATTTTTATTTATCTATATTAATTATTAAAGTTAAAACAATAATAACTATGATAAGAGCCTCTTGTGTAGCGCCTATCTTGGCACGAATGAGAAGAGCTTGGGTGAAATACAAAATCTATGCAAACCGAAGCTTATTAAGACGTAGCTTTTACTTCGTTTGTATCATGTATGCAACGCCCACATTACTTCGTAGATAAAAATTCACGTTAATATCTAAATACAAATCCCATGTGCTACATCCGTGCACTGGTTTAAGTATCTTAGTACAGTGAAAAGCTTTAGTGCTGTGACTTTAGCGACAAGTCATTAAAATCTTTTGTAATTTTTTTTTTATAGTGCTGTACCTATCGACTCACGAGTGTAACACACCACACTTCTTAAAACTTACAAGTTTCTTAAAAAATAGCTGCATGTAATACACAAATGACAAACTTTATAACATCCAATTAATTGACAGACTTTAAATCCGATCTAAAAGTTCCACAGCATTTTTTTTTTAATTTCCCAATGTTTAGATAGGCCATATATAAAACCTTCACAGAAATTAAAATAATATATTGTATTAATCTACCGTCATAGTTATAATTGTAGATACAATATGAGTTAATAAATATCTAACCCAGCTCCTGGTCTCTATGGCGACGTACACCAGCATGATGACGAGGCAGCAGGTCATGTTACAGAGGCCGAACATCCAGAGGTCAACGTCCGAGTCCCAGTAGGCCTGCTTGGAGGTGAAGAAGATCACCACGCTGATGTACACGGACTCAGCCAACACCAGCCAGTACGAGTGAGCCCTGTAGGACAGGCCGCGGCGACACGCGCTGTACAGACCCGGCCGCTCGGACAGCAGCCCGCTGGGAGCCACGCGGTCGTACGCACCTGGAGAGATGACGTCACTGTATTAAACATCTTGGAGTACAAACAGAAATACATACAATTAAAAATCCATTAAGACTGAAATATCTATTGAATTTTTATTCGACATACGTACAAGTATAGAACTCCTAACAGACACGAAATCATAAAGTTCAACTAGCAAATATTATTTTTCTCGTAAAATAAATAAATTTAATTATGTATACAAGATTAATAACATTGAAATTCCCAAAATAAATTCTGTATCTAACTTGGAATTCAGTGTGACTCGAAGTTTTTAATAAATGAGCAGATACAAATCGCAACCGATAGTGTTTTATATATAGACAATAGGGATACACAAAATGTTAATGAATTAAAATTTTATACTTTGCATATGTTCCTAACTTGTTAGATTATGCATGCACATTTTGATTACAACAGTATAGCGTTTGATTTAAGCTGAGCTTTTGCATTTGTAATTTGTATGAGTGCACACGAATAGTGAAGGTGTGATGTAAAATTTTTGAATGCCACGTTCTTTTATAGTTTTGAACCAGTTTATACTACTTTTACTCCGCCCAACACTTATGTACCTATTTAAAATTTAATTCTACGTTTTTTTTTTGTCTAACTCTATTTTTACTGTCACTCACACAAATGCAAAGCTCAGCTTAATTCTAACGGACTATACAATATTTATAAATACAGAATAGAAAGCATTCAAATAAAATTTATGGAGTTTCTTAGTTACCAAGATCGTAAAATATTTGATAACTATACTGTGGCTTGACGTCATTACTACACGTAGCGTTGCCAGGCGTCCGGATAAAGCCGGACACAGTTAGGCTTTTTGTATGCATGTCCGGCCAAAATAAACGGTGTCCGGCTTTTGTTAGGCTTTTTACATTTCACAAACAAGGAAGCACTGCCGCCGCGCCGCCGAATATGTTCTTGAATGGAATCAAGTTGCCGATACTATAAGTATCCTATCGCAAAACAACGTTAAAATCGACGATAGCAAATGTTTTGACCAACTGCAAAATCTTAAAGTTTTCTGAATACTAACAAAGAGAACGTTGATTTCAAGAAGCTATTAGCACATAAAAAATGGGTAACCTATTTTAAATCGATGATAAGTCAAGATTGCTTTTCAGCATTCCTAACTATTTGTCAGTATTACTTTGCTATCCCAGGACAAAACGCAAACGTTGAAAGAGTTTTTTCCTTGATACGTCAGCAATGGTCGAAAGAACGCAACAGATTACATGTTGATCTCTTTTTCTAATCTAACCTAGCTCTTACAGCAGTTTTCGTCTAACCAAAAATATTAACAATTAATTATTTTTATTGTGTAACTCAAAGAGAAAAAGTATTTTTTTTGTTTTATATTTTAACTTAAAGAGAAGTTATTGATTTTTTTTTAGTTAAAAAAAGTATATATTTTTTTATTTTACAAATTTTATTCTCTTTACGACAACGTCATTTACATAAGAACTTAAAACAAACTTCTGTTTTTCTTACTTTACTTATTTGTGTTTTTCTTTTTATTTAAGAAAAAATCAAACATGTTGATGAATGTTTAAGTATCTAGAATTTAATTTTGACTGATTAATAATAAAGTACCTATCTAAGACAAATGGGCACTCAATTTTATTTATTATTTTACTAGAAATTAACAAGATTTACGATAATAATCAAAAAGACTTCATTTTACATAAAAAAATTGTCGTACCTATTAATACTAAGACAAAATCCTCAATAATATAGAGTGTCCGGCTTTTTTAACCAAATGTCCGGCCAAACTGGCCGGTCTGTCCGGCTATTAGGTTTGGCGACCTGGCAACGCTAACCACATGGATCTGATGACGCTTAATTCACTTTTGACAAACGAAATAGACTGCGACGAACTATTATCCCTGTTACAATTTAGAATACCAAATCGACTTACTCGTTGGACAGCATTATTTAATACACTGTTGATGAGCACAAAATATGGAAGAAACTGCTTAGTAAATCGTTTAGCCACTACCCATGACGACTTATTTTCTCACTTACATATATTCAATATAAAGAAACATAAAAGGGTTACATTTTAATTTACTATCAAAACGCAGAATGCATACACACAGACCTACACACGCACACGTTACCACACTTAGGCAATTAGGTGATTAATTAATGTTACGTTTATAGTTATACTATACTATGTCATTATTATAAGCACTGTTGGATTACCGAAATAAACAAATAAATAAAAAAATATATATCTATATACAATGATAGTGTACAACATATATGTTTGTTTCGTTAGTAACCTATGACTATGGGCGGGAAGGCTGTGAAGGCGAGGTTGTAGGCCATGAGGTGGAGCTGGTCGATCATGACGGACGACGAGTAGCCGCAGTACAGCTGGTACCAGAACACGAGGAACACGAACGTCTGGAACATACGTACGCTTATATAGATATGAGAGATAACAGACAAGGGCAGCCTGAACGGAATAAAGAAAGAAATATATCTTTATACAGGGTAACTGGTGAATTACTATCGATATTTGAGGACGTGATATTTGACGATCATATATGACAAAATAAAAATTAATATAACATAAATATTAATAAACTTCTAAGTAAAGTTAACCAAAAGTTATGTAATTAATTACGCATCGTGTGAACACCCTACAGATTAGGTATACACACACACACACACGCGTGTGCCGGCGTGGTGTTGTATCAGCACGTCGCCGTACGCGTCCACACTTGGAACACTTGGAACGTGTCCACACTTTATTTATTTATACGGAAATTTGGTAAAAAATTAAGTACCTATTTTTTTTACATAATTCGAATGAGAATCATGTACTGAGTATTCTCCTTAAATATTGATAGTAATTCGCCAGTCACCCTGTATACATATATAATTCTTCTGTGAGTGTGTGTGTTCAAGGAGATCTGGGAATGGTTTAGATTCACCATTTTGTCCGCTGGACAATGTTTTTTTAATTAATTTTTAATTTATTAGTAGTTGATGATACGTTTTTTTTTTGACATATTAGATTTGACAACTAACTAATACGTCAATCATTCTGTCGCACTTCAAAACACGGAGATTTACAAAAAACTCCAAAAATATAATTAAAAAAAAACGTAACAGATTATTCTTGATTATAGGGCGATACGAAGTTCGCCGGGTCTTCTAGTTGTTATATAAACACACTTGTTAGAAAAAACTGTATTATGAGAACAACTGTATTATGTAGAATAATTAACATTAATATTATATGTATGTGTATGTACATGTACATATGTTTGACTTCCAATTGGGTGATAGATATATTGTTTATTACTAATACTTTAGAATTTTAATATTTAGGATGACATTTGCTAGTAATTTGATGTAATACAGAATGAATTGAATACTGACAGCATTCTTAAGGAAGAAGTAGAGTATCATCCTGGCGAGCCTGTCGTAACACCAGTGACCGTGGACCAGCAGCAGGCGCTCCACGAACTTGAAGCGGGGGAGGGCGAAGTCCGACGCCATCACCGCCTGGCGACCCTCCTGACCCGAGAGACCTGGAACACACACACACACATCATCAGCTGATTAACACACACACACACACACACACAGCTGAAGGTATCTTCACGAAACTCAGACGCCATATGCGGTCTTATGGCTTCTGAATTATGTATATTCGTCGGGGTTAGTGCAAATCCGCGTAACTACCACTGGATCATTCCGCGTATCTACATTGTAAACAGATTATCATGAGAAGGTTTCAGCTGAAATATTTTCTTAATTAACGACTTTTAGGGTATTTTTTCACAATTAGTAATTATTTAGCGTTTAATTTGTGCTATATTATAGGGGGTTTGAAAATGAAATTTTTATTTAAATAAACATTATTTATGTGACACGTGTTCATTAAATCATGATATATTTGCAAATTGTATGAATTTATTATAATGTACTTGAGAATACTTAATAATACCTTTCTTACAGCTGACGTATTTCTACGATTATTTTCATTTACTTACCAACACCAACATCGGCTGTTTGAATCATAGAAACATCATTGGCACCGTCCCCTATAGCTAACGTTGTAACTCCGAGTTCTTCTTTAACAGCCTGTTAAATATTTGAATTTTTTTTAAAATTAAATATTCACCAAAATAATATTAATGCCTGAAACATGCGAGAACTTATCAAAACCCAACAATTTAAATAGGTCTCTATTATTATGTACACGCACGAGAACTATACAAATGTGCACGCACGCGTGGACGTCAGATACATGCATAAGGACACACGCACATACACATAATCACATTCTTCTATAATAGTATAGGGTGACTCCTACATAAAGACACAGATCAACCTTGTCGTTATTAGTCTTCTACATAAGGACAGACGCACATGTAGTAATGTATAAACACACAACTACATTCTCCTATAGTCACATACGGTGACTCACACATACAGACCAACCTTGACTCTATAAGCCTTCTAAATGTATAAGGACACACGACATGTAAGAATAAACACACAACCAACACAAACTCGTATAGTCATTTACAGTGATTCATACACACACACACACACAAACAGACCAACCTTAACGATATAAGCCTTCTGTAGCGGCGTGGCCCTGCAGCAGAGTACGGCGGAGCAGCGGCGCGCCAGTGAGAGGAAGGGCGCGACTAGTCCGGAGCGCCGGTCGAGGATGTATGTGAGCGTGCGGCCGTCCACCACCAGCGCGCGACCCCCGCCCCCCTCCACCGCGCCGCCCTCCAGGTAGCTCTTGATAGTGGACTCGGCGTGCTCCTGACAAACGTTATACGACCTTATAATACGTATACTAAATACATATTTATTGTTTATTGTCTATGTTTGCTTGTTTCTTTTTTTATATTTCCCACTTTTAACATATGTTGTCAGACTAATCAAATAGTATATAAATGGTATGTAATATTACAGTGTATCAGCCCCTAACCTTGTCCCTCGACATGAGATGCAGCAGTCTGTCGCTCTGTGAGAACAAGGCCGCTGAGTAAGCTATGTTGATGGCTGTCTCTGGCTTGTCTCCGGTGAGTACCCATACCACGATGCCAGCATCGAGTAACGCCCGAACAGTTCGAGGCACGTCCTCCTGCAGACGATCCTCGACCCCCGTCGCCCCTACTAAGGTTAGCGCGCTCTCTAACCTAGCTAGCGACTCACGCATGCGTTTTTCTCGACCTGGAATTTCAAGTAACAATTTGTTTAAGAACGTAGTTGATAATCTCGTGTACACACAAATATATATATAATCTAGCTGACCCGGTAGACCTCGTACTGCCTCAATCGATAACTAAATAATTTTTATATATTTTTTTGGAGTTTACCTTTCAGCCATAAAACTCTTTATTCTTTAGTGCGACTGTGCGACAGAATGATTGACATATTAGTTAGTAGTCAAATCTAATCTCAAAAAAAACCTTTGTATGGGAAATAGAAAAGCGCTGTTTTTAGGGTTTTCCCAGAAATGATTAAATTTTATTCAGCAGTTTCCTGAACCTTTCCTGAACCTCCACGAACATTTCAAGACTAAGATAAGATAAATCCGTTCAGCCGTTTTCGAGTTTTAGTGAGACTAACGAACAGGAATTAATTTTTATATAATATATAGAAGATAGATGTACATCGTTTTGGGATACTTTTAATTTTTTTAATTACCTTCACCAATTTCGCTAGCTCTGGTGTGTCCAGCCAGCCATTCCTCCCACAGAGCGGGTTGCATCGTTCGTTTTGCCATGACCAGTGTGCGGAGACCCGCTCGTGAGTATTCCAGTAATAGCGACTTGGTTCTTTCTAAGGCGGCAGCCTCAGCAGATCCGGCTCTCATGGGCGCCAATGCTCCTAACACTATACTATCCGCTCCTTTCACGTATAAAACTACCTGTAATATTAGTACACTTATTGTAACCAAATTATATATTATGGGTCTACATATTGAATCCTACTGTCCTTGAGAGGAAAGCAAAAACTTGTAATAGGGGTTAACGGGTTCGAACCCGGGACATCCACGGATTACAACATTTGTTAAGTAAAGTAATGAAATCTGTCCTAAATCGATGATTGATATATATACATGAGGGGAATAATCACAGGCAGACTTTATAACTCAAAATATTTACTCACACATATATTTATGAAAGTTCTATTTAAAACTATATATTATAGGTAAGAACAGTCTTTGCCTAAATGGTCGATAACGCCTTTTTGTCTGCGCTGCAGGGCTAAAGCTAGGCGGGGTAAGAGAAACAGCAAAAAATAGGGGCATTTGGTAGAGACATGGCAGTGATTTTGAATTTCATCTAGCTAGGATAAGATATAGTGGTTTTATTCTTAAATTACTCGGTAGATAAAATATGTTTTAAGCCCTTGTGTTGGAGCAATGAAGATACAAGGAGCAATTATTCTATGTATCTATCTCCACCATACAATTACCTGTCCCGTAGGTGTTCTCAGAGCGACGGACATACACTTCCTGGTGGAGTCAAACTGTTGGACCCTGAGCACCTTCATCTTGGACAGCTCCCCTCTTATCCCTAACTCCACTTCGTCCACCGAGCGTCCTCTCAGCTCGTAACCGTAAGCTAAGGCCGCCTCCGCTAAGGCCAACTCATCCGGACTCTCAGCCTCGAAACGCGCCAGCTGTATCCATTACATCAATTTATTTATATGTAAATTATTTCGCGTTTTTAACGAGCAATATAAGATGAATATGTTTCAATTAATGCAATTAATACTGATGAGAGAGGCATGTTGTATCCTATAAATATTATGAATTCTTAAATTTTACAAGATGCTGTGTGGATGTATGATTTTCTATCACGAAAATACTAATGAACAGATTTTGATGAAACTTTCCAGTGATGTAGGTTAGGCTTCAGAATAACATCTAGGTTTATAATTTATACAAAAAGTGCGTGTCTTATATGAAATAACGTATCACAAAAGTTGACAGATGACGGTGATAGTTGGTTGGCATAATCTATTTTATTTCAGTAAATAGAAGTTATTTCTGAAACCAATTTCGAAGTCCCAAGGGACATTATCGAATTCAAAATCTAGTATCTCATGAATAAATGAAATATAAGATCCAAGTAAAGCAAACTATTGAAATGTACCTTACTAGAGTATAATAATTAATTAAAGTTGTTTTTCACCTGTATTTCAGCCGACGTGCTCGGCTCGCTGACGCTGTCTTCCCGACTGCTGAACGGTAGTTTCGGAAGACGGAGACGCAGCGGGGAGGTGGTGGAGGGCGGCGGGGACGGCGTTGTGGACCGAGATTCAGTTAATCTAGCGTACCTCCAAACCAATCGTATTTAAATGTAGACCGTTTTTTTATTTTAAAATTTAGTTCCAAAGCGTTAGCCTTCATGCAACCTCGTCGATAAAATTCGAACCGCACCAAGAGAAATAAAATGTTTGATTCGAATTTCAAATATTATATATACCCTGAGTATTGTATAACTCTTATTGCGATATCGCTAAAATCTTAACCTTAAGATATTTCGTTGATTTATTTTAAACTATGCCAAAAGGAATGCATTTTATTCCATTTTCAAATATATTATATTATATAGTAGCTGTAAAGCGATTTGACCATTCAATAATCGATACTCACTTATCGTTCGATCGGAGCGTTCCGTTTCTCGTCGGCTTGCGCACGTGCTCGCTGCTCGTGCTCAGCTGCATAGCGTCCACGTGCGGCTGGCTCACCACCACCGTGTTACAAACGGCCAGGATCAAGAGGAACTCGGAGACCTTTGTTTTAAATATACAACGAAATTTGAGGATCGAACGTGTTTTGTATAAAACAGATTTTTTTAAATTTCTTATCTCATACCAGCATCAAACTTTATCGCGTTTAAAAAAGATTACTGTAATTGATTTTGTTTCAATGTAATATTCTCGATTTCCGTATATTTTGGTAATTACGAAAAAACAATTTGATGGCAATACGTGATGTCCAATTATGATGCGTCTGCTTTGTTCTTTTAATCTTCCTTTTACATTTTAAAGGTCACGGTAATATTATTTTTTATATTAATGATTGCTTTATAACATTGTATAAAATCTACTGTCTTTGACCTTAATTATGAAAAGTATCAGTATTGAATATAGCCTACATTTCCTTTTTATAGATATTTGTTTGTAATAAATTTCCATTAAAGGTTAAATAGACATTTTGTGTCCAGAATTATTCTATTGTTTTCATTGTCGATGTAAACAATAAGCAATTTTGCTACAGTAACTTGTTTGATTTTATAATTAAACCTACCTTTTGAGTATGTTGAGGGTCGTTGGTGTCTAGAAGATGTTGAAGTAATCTTCTGTTGGGTGAGACTTTTGTTATCGGAGTGACGATGGGCGGTAGGGAGGTGGAAGGGTCAGCGTCTGGACCGGGCGGGTGGTCGTAGTCCACTCCGCCGACCGTACATCTCCTGAACACCATCTTATTCTCGGTCAGAGTGCCCGTCTTGTCGCTGAACAGATAACTGACCTGCCCCAACTCCTCCGTTATATTCAAAGCCCGGCACTCAGTCCGCGTGTTCGTAACCGGATCATACATTTCGACGTCCTGATGTATGTGGTAGACTTGCAACAGCTTCGTCATTTCTATAGTAACGTATAGCGACACCGGTATCATAACTTGAAGGACTATGATGTACGTCCAAAATATCAGCAGGCCTTCGTAAGCTGGTTTCTCGGCGTACGGTATGAAAGGCGTGTATTTCATGACGGCTGGACTGTAGAAGTCCAACCACACTTTACAGCCGACAGCACCAGCGCAGCAGAGAAACAGCAACACAAGAACACACCAGATAACATCGGTATTCATTTTTTTCTCTAACTTGGAACATTTGTATCTCGGCCCGCCGTTATTAAGCATGGCCTTTGTTTCATGTCCCGCGTACACGACGATGCCCTCAATGTAATCCGTGTTCTTGATTGTGCATTCTCTCAACAGGAGGTTATCAGAGTTAAGAGGAACTCGAGTACCGTCCGGATGTGATATAGTTCCATTGAACCTGTAAATCTTTGTAGACGGCCGTTCCACCTCCACGGAGCTACGAAATTTCATAGGGGAAAACTCCAATCTCTGAAAAGAAATATACGCAATTTCTTCAACTCAAATAATAATGACGGTAATATGAGCAAGAGTATATTTAGATATAATTGTTATCGTAGTCATTAAGAGGAATTCTAGAAAGTTTTCTCGCGACACATGTCGCGGTGACGATTACCGTGATGGCTTAAGCGGAGCTTGATGACGCAAACTTATAGTGACAATATTTAAACTGATGTTAAACACACAGCCGGTTGACGGTTCAATGATCAACTAGTTTACGGGCTACATCCCACGCGGCATTGTTAGCAAACTTATCGCGATTCTGTTACAATAACATTAAAATGAGCGAACAGCGACAAATTTATATGATTACGTGGAAGTATAGAGTATAGACGGCATTCGTCTCTTTAAAATTGTAGTCTTAACAGAACTAAATATATCCTTACCTTGTCTTTGAACCCGGGAGCTACCATACGTTGTTTAAGATTCGTTTCCCCGTCCAGGTTGCAGGTGTCAAGGTAACATAGTCCTGACTGGTTCGAGGAGTGTAGAAGGACCATATCCGCTGGGACCGCCTCGTTGTTGGACAGATGAACCAGGTCTCCCACTCGAACATCCCGCCATTTCACACGAACGTATCTCTCAACCGATCTACGAATAAAAATATAGTTAAATACACTAAATGAATTAAAACAAACTAAATTTACATTTTATAGCAGTAGCGTGTAACACTTAATTAAGACTTAATTTATCCAACAAAAAAAGGTTAATTTATCCAACAAAGAAAGAATAAAATTATTGTCTCCAAGAAGATCGCCTTATAATTTACTTACTTAAAATTCTATTTATTCCCATGTGTTTTTTTATCATGGAAAATATTTGACTACTAACATGATTTTAGGCTTTATTGTAATATATATTATAAATGTATGTACATATATATTATTTTGCCGTGTACCACCAACAAAATTCGGTTTATAAAATATTTTAAAATCACTTGCTTGAATTAATATCTGATATAAGTGTTTATAAAAAATGCAGATTTTAAAAGGTTGAACATAAATATATTAATATTTTCCTTAAACTTTACCAAAAATAATTTAGTAAATACCCAAATGGGGTTCTCTCGACCACTTCGTTAAATTTTTAAAAGCTTTGAGATAAATCGAAAGTATGTAAGAACAGTTTTCTTTGAAATTCCTAGAGGAAGAAAACATTTAAAGTTTATCTAAGTTTAAGTCACCTCATATGAGTCACAGATGGTAATTAATACAGTTTATTCATGAGCTTCTTACATACACTGTTAGAATTAATATTAAAGAGAGATTATTCTAGATTGTGAGTAGAAAAATGAATTTCTCAATGTATGAAACACAATCTAGGTATACAGGGTGACTGGTGAATTACTATCAATATTTAAGGAGCATACTCGGTACATGATTCTCATTCGAATTATGTAAAAAATAGGTACTTAATTTTTGAACAAATTTCCGTATAAATAAATAAAGTGTGTACACGTTCCAAGTGTTCCTAGTGTGGACGCGTGCGGCGGCGTACTGATACAACACCACGCCGCCGCGCGCGAGTGTGTGTGTGTGTGTGTATACCTAATCTGTAGGGTGTTCATACGATGCGTAATTAATTACATAACTTTTGGTTAACTTTACTTAGAAGTTTATTAATATTTATGTTATATTAATTTTTATTTTGTCATATATGATCGTCAAATATCACGTCCTCAAATATCGATAGTAATTCACCAGTCACCCTGTATAGTTATTATAATTTTTGACCGACTGTGTGAGAAGGTGTTATGTTTACTATGTTATCGACAGAGTGTTGAAGTGATGAAAGGTTGGATTAAGTTAAATCTCGTGAACCCAACCGGGTTACAAAGGTCGAAAAGAAAGCGTATAACAATTATTGTGGTGACCTTAATGCTTTCACCCTTTTAGTTACGTTTAAATTCAAATAAAATTGAGTTACTATATTTTTAACCAGTAATTTAAACCATATGAAAATATTGAGTGTGTGTATATACACATACATAATACATATATAGAAACTATTTATATTAAAGTTATTACCGTTACGACTCAAGTATATTAATAAACGTAACAGATGAACATCTCTATTGATTTACTCTCCTGATAAATATCATGTACCGTATTTAGATTAAACAGTAGCTATTTAAAATATATTACATTTTACGTATACATACATATATAATTGGTTTATAAAATGAAGTAGAGTATATAAAAAAAATGCTCAATTAATTTTTAAATTTCGGCCAGAAATAATTAAAAAAGATAAAAAATAATTCTGAGGCCGTTTGTTTTAAATATTTGATGAATTCCATTTTCTCAAACTGGGTCGTATTCAATGTCAAAACACAAAGGAATCTAAACGAAAGCGTCTTCCAAATACAGCCATCTTGTTTATTATTAACAATATGGAGAAATGGAAAGCGAAAACCAATCACTATTTGTTTACGTTACATGACGTGGGAGATTTGGCTATATTGTTTCTAACATTTACTTTCATTGCTTTTGTTCCATTGTTTACACATGAATGGCTGATTTGATAGTTTACAATTATAAGGTTCCATTTTTAAATATAGCTTTTAGTTTTTTTTTGACATAAAACCTTTTTTTAATTCATGTCTATTTGAACTTAATAAATAATTCATTATGAATACAGGTCGACGGAGTTTTTCTGCGGGTTTAACACTGAACGAGAAAAGGAAACGGTCAGTTTGATTCGCAAACAAAAATGTAGATTAAAGCGTACACAATAAAGATCAATTCGCACTGGTCTGATTAATATGATATGGAAAAAAATATAAGGTAATATTGAAACTGAAAACAACAAGTTTGAGTACGTTCGTGGCTATAAATAAATACACGTCTATGAGACAAAAACGACTATTTTACAGCACTATTATCTGAGTGATCGAAGAATTTGATGTGATGATCATGATTCGATCATCACAAAAGACTCGTAAACATGATTCACGAATCGGGCGTGATTTATTTACTAAAAGAAACACCAAAAATTTTATGGAATATTTTCGACACTATACCTCTTTGGTATAACTAAATACTAAACTATCGAAAAGGTAAACCCTATGACGCTTCATAAAAAAAACATTGTACATTTTTAATACCAACCCAATCACTACTAGACCGTGACCTTCTAGTTTCATTATGGCATCGATAATTTGTTTCTAATATCAGTATTTAAAATTGAATGCTCACATATACTTCCAATAAATAACAACATGGAACCGATTTAATGAAGAATATTTTGATTGAATGGCACTCTTCGTGAACACGAACAGCTTAAGGGCAACCATTAAATATTTAAGACCTAAATTATATTTAGTGCTTTGGCTTTCGTATAACAGAATTAGAAATCAATCTCAAGATCGTGGAATACTTTGTACCGACTACGGAATACAAAAAAATATATTAAATAAACGTTCTTATTTTTAGATGTCTGATTAAAGGAGGATTATTAAATAATATGTTTTATTTGTTGTAGTGGGAACAGAATTTAAAAACTATTCAATTAACATGAGATACAGTCTAGTGATAGACGAATGGTCAGTGGAGCCTCAGGAGGGATAAAAATTGAAATATAACTTTAATTAACATGAAGTTTAATAATGCTTTGCTTAAAAATCGTCATTATTAGCTTTTTATACATATTATTTCTATTTTCTTTTATTTCAATTTATAGTTAATAATATTTAATGCAATAACTTTTTATTTTCTTATGTTTTTGGTGATGAATGTCGTAAATTACTGTTCATTCAACAGGTACTCGCGTGTCGTTGAACGGATACTTTCGTTATGTGACGTCTGCTGTCAGACTTGACCGATCACGTACAGTTAATAAATGGAACTAAATTTTTGCAATTTTTATATCAAACACTATTACATAGGAAACTAACAGTGTGTGTATATGTTTCATTTTATTCCTTATAATAATATATATATATACCCGCATAAATACTTAATATCCTTGTTATACATTTCAATTAGCATAAAGTGTAGTATTTGTGTTGTTAAGAACGGTAATAATCTTACAACTAGTTTCCAACGTCACACCACACACGAAGCGTTTCCCGTCTCTCATTTAATAAACTAATTTAACGTTATGTGCGAACAGCAAAGATTGACGAATTAAAAACTGGTAGACTTTCGTATAAATACAGCGTACATGAAAATTTGAGGTTGTCATATAGTTATTACTTATAAGTAATTACACTTAACACTCGTTTTCATTACAAACTAATGTAATAAAGTTTTAAAATATGAAACCGTGGTATGGGATTGTAAGAAGTTGGAATGCACTTTCTCTGTATTAAATCTAATTCGATCGAATCATATCACAATAATTTGTAGGAACGATGATGTTGACGTCAATGTCTATAAACTTACAATGTGAAGGTCAAAGCATTCACTAACGACCTCACCTCCAGCACCTGAACGATAGTTACATCGAATATTCATTTATGACTTAGAATAGGTGCATGCGACAATTATTTAAGCTTGTCGTCCCCATACCGTACATTATACATTAAGCTGCAATTCACCCTTGTCTTAACTTATTGGCCTATTTTCAAAACAGTGGTCTTATGACCTTGACGTATATAAATTTATATGTAGCAAAGGCTAGTAGACGAAAAAATAAACATTTAAAACAGTTTCCTCATAGCACAGTAGAAGGGTAATCCATGTATGATAAATAACAGGAAACATTATAAATATTGTAATAAGTAATGAAAGTATTTATTGCAATTAATTTTAAGTATGTACTTAAAAGGAAATATTATGGTTATTGGAGACATATACATATATTTAAGCCTATAATGAGTGGCAACTCGTACACTGGAAATACATAAATATTAAAAAAAACAACTAAGTCTACAATTTAAAAAAGTAAACAACAAAATGAGAATATGTTTTTAAATACACACTAACTTTTGTATATTTTGAAAAAAAAAGATAATATCTTCAATATTTATCTCGACGGTGAAAACCATTGAAATGATGAAAGATTTATATACATATAAGTTTCACTTGAATCATTATTTATATTAGTTTTTTATTGAAATAAATATGACACGAAATTATTATACCAAGACGTTTAGGTACTATAATTATCATTTCCAACATTGTAATGAAAATGTTCTATAACGCAGAAATATAGAAAAATATATATTTTTTTAATCCGAGATAGGGGAGAGTTGGTTATATCGTACTAGCATTTAAATCGTACCACTTCTAAATTTCCCATTTAATGAATATTTTTTTCTACACTGACTATACCAAATCGTGGCCCTGCACTATCCTTCTTCACCCACTAGTTTAAATCTACGTGAGTTAACAACTGTGCTCGTAATAAAAGAAAAACTTTTTTTGTAGGAATTAATATAAATATTATAAATATTGTCGTACATTCGTAAGGAGATAACTCGTTATCAAGGTAAGCTATAGTTATTCAGTTTTTTTTTATTATTCCACAATTGTATACTAGATTATTGGGTGTTTTTGTTGCGTGTCTAAGTTTTGAGTTTATGCCGGATATTTGCTTTTGTTTTAGAAATGCCTTAGTTGGTTTAATCGTACCACTTGCAGTTGGTT